GGTGGCCTATGATTACATCAGCTTCTACATACGTTCGAACCTGAGGGAGGTGTGTAAGCCCAGGGTACCTTGCATGGTCACGTGGATTATCCAGCGACCAATCAGCCCAGTACTCTATGTATATAAGCTTAGATCACAGACCTCTCGGTGATGAAGAAGAATACACACAATCTACTTACAGGAGGTCGTCGCACGGCGTTATTAGTAATTGTAAGCCTAGGACCACATCACATGACTGCTCTGCAGGCATGACTAATGCGTCCGACTACTTTCGAGCTCAGATCACATACTTGTACATACACAGAACAATACACTCATACATGAGACCCAATACTAGTGCCACCCCATGCTTACAGTAATAAGGTTCAAGTTTCCGACAGCGCTTGGCCTGCGACATCATCGTATGTACTCGCGACGGTCGGGACGATGTGGGGTTATATTCTGCGACCACTTGCAAAGCTGGGTCAGCATGATTGCAACAAAAAAAAATCATTCAGGCTCTTCATTTCAACCAGATTCTCCGTGCAGCTATACAGCCCGCGCCAGAATAACCAGAGTGCTTAAGATACAGTCTTCTTCTAGCACCTGGCTAACTCGGTCCATAATATCGTATGTGGTGTCAAGGATGGGACAATAAGGAACAGCTCTTTGCAAACAATGAGAGCCATTGCTCCGGAAATAATTAGCGAATTAGAAGCGCGATTCGCTCTGAAACTAGCCAACACGTGACCGTAATAGGAAAGCTCAAGCCGAACGCCATACTCCAGGGCAAGTCCGTGTAGGCTGGTAAGTTGGGTCTCCACATCGGGTAGCTAAAACCGCGATATCTCCGCGTATACTTACCTAATCTGAACGGTTTATAGCTTGTTTTGTTGCCCTGATGTGGATCTACAATCTTATTGCATAAAGCTTCCTTATATTTCTAATATTACAGAAGTTATTCAGGTTCGGAGCTCTATGTGGAGACCCAGCTCTTGGCAATATGGGTACCTAAATAGCTTCATAATATAAGAGATATGAGAAAACCCTCTATAGCAAAGTTATATGTCTATCTTAGAGCTACGAAACAAGCTATAAACCGTTCAGATTAGGTAAGTATACGCGGAGATATCGCGGTTTTAGCTACCCGATGTGGAGACCCAACTTACCAGCCTAAGTCCGTGGCTGCTCAAGCTTGTGGCTTGCCCTGAGATCATGAGCTAAAAGCACGACGCGGCTTAGAATAATGCAATACTGGTCCAATAACTTACCAAGGTGCTCAAACGCCGTGTGGCTCAGTTTTCCGGATGAACTTGTTCGCCACCTTCAAGTTGCGAGGAAGCGTTGACCAACTCATATTGGAGCTTCATCACTTTTGACCGTGTAGACATGCAGCACAGACGGCCACTTCCGCTACTGCAGAGCATTTTCAAAAAGAATTGAATCTACTTAGAATAGGCCTGTCACGACCCCGCCTAGGCGCGACTTAACGTAGGCTTCATGGACGCCCTCACCACGCATTAGTGGTTCCATCCTCAGGTTCCCCACCGCCCTCCCTCTGCGCCCCCGCATATTCTTCCTATATCGCGACTTTCTTACGACATGGTGCGTAAAAGAATCTAGCGCTATGGCGAAGGACACCTGTTTTATGACGAGAGGAGGCTCTCTACAAGCCAGGCGCAGCAATGTCGACACCATGGTAATTTTTAGGTGTGAAGGTGCCTGTGTGGTCAGTAATACCCACAGCACAGAAAAGATATTATCGAACAGCAGAAATGAAGTAGAGACTGAGTCTGACTGGCTTGAATTCGAAGTAACGTTACAGGTAGTATTTTCCGCCATGGGGGAGAGGGGCTTCCCGGGACCCTAAGATGGACGTCAAGCTAACCCCAGACACCTTCTTGATACTCGTCCATTAGCATCGTATACTCAGCTCCTGCATGTGCCCACCCTTTGATACCCCCAAGTAGCATAAAACTTCGAATGCCTGGATTCCCTTGCTCTTTGATATAGTCGTCCATCCAAGCGGCAGCACGAAGTCCCCGATGCTGCGAGGAGCCTAAGCAGTGTCAGTTGCTTTGCGTGCACGGCAATTGATACTATAACATACCACAGTACCATATGATGCATTTGATTTCAGCGCTCGTGAATAACGTATAGAGTATAGGAAGAGTGGGATACAAACTCTGTGCCGGTAAGTTGATCGAACCGCGAATAGTTCCGCCCTATGAGGTACAAAGTCAGCATTGCGAAACGATTTAACTCAGTTCTGTGTTGCGTACAGTATGATCAACCTGGCGTAGATCAACGAGAATGAAGTCTTTTCCCGGCTTTTGCCCTTGCTGTAACATCGTCAGGACTTCATCGCGAGATATCGCTGACGGAGTCTGGTTCTTCGCGGTGGGATAATTTGGATCCCAAGGGGAATCAGGATCAATTAGTAGTGATGGGCAGCTCATGGCGATGTTGTGGGTACACCGGTATATGAAGATTGGATCACTCTTGGCTAGAGAGAAGATTGGGGAACGAAGCTGCGATAAACGAAGCAATGGAGAACGGAACCACAGCATAGGTTAATATGATTTATGAAGAAGTTAATTGTAGGTGTTAGCTTCATTGTTCCAGCGATGCCCTATTTATACTATAAAATTTATGTGTTTTGCGGAAGGCTTGAATGTCACCCGCTGCGATTGATTGGTTGAGCACAAACCCAAGCACTGACCACACGCACCTACGTATCACTGCCTGGTTCCTGATAGGCGCTTTACTGTAAGAGCAAATTAAAGGCGATAGGTAGATCCGGCTCTATGGGGCTGTCTTCTGTTAGGTCGACGCGTAAATTTCTTGTCAACATTCATTGTTGCTCGGCGGTGCCGGTAACCTAGGCACGGCGCGTTCCTGTGTCACAGTGGACTAACTTAAACACAATTCTTAGTCCCAAGAACATCTCATATTTTACAAGTATTCAAACTAAGAGCTACTAGTTCTGGGTCACTATATCATCATGTACGATCGCCTCACCGCGATCGCATGTGGTAGGTCGGTAGCTCCCATGCACGTTGGTAGATTGCTGAAATAAACCTCGGTGACACTTACGTCTTGCTATGCAAGTAAGCTCTTGGGACCAATGCAGGATCTCGATCTCTCATCGTGGACTGAGTCGTTCCTAACCTGGGAAGGTCGCAGGTAGACAACCTGGAGAAGAACCTAAAAATCGGCTTTTTGAGTACGTATTCCAGCGACTTGTACACGCAGGATCAAAGAGTAAGACCTCGAGATAGGGCTTCCACAAAATGTTGGGAGCATCGTTTGGTGAGGCTGGATCGGAATGCGGACCGACGCTCTCCGTTCATCCCGCTGTTGTTCCCGAGGCTCGAACTGATAGAGGTTCTTTCTGGCGTGCCGTCCTCCAAATCGTCTTCATACCTTGGTGGTTCTTCTGTCTCAATTAGAAGCTGCGCCTCCATTTTAGTTGCGTGAAGTCCATGTGTTTGAGTTTGATAATCTCATCGTGGAGCCAAATCAATTGATTCCGCATAAGGATCGTCTGCTTCGAAAGGCACGGCATCGGCCCTGAGGCGTAGAACGTCTTGACTCGGATCGCAGATTTCACTTCCAAGGATATGGCTCGCAAACGTTGCAATGCTAAAGGAGCGTGAGTGGTGATAGAGAGCGCCAAGTCGGTACAAGGGCGGTTTTCGTAGGACGAGTAGGCTAGTGGCAGTGGTTCGCTGATGCTCATGATAAGGTCTTCAAGGTGGCCCCCCAAAGCATACTTCCATGTCGGTGAGTTCGTCTTCAAGACAAACTCCTCGGGAAGGCTAGCAACGTGTGTTGGTGGCTCGACCTCTGTATACGGAAGAAAGTTGATAGTCTAGCTCTTCTCAACTTTGTTCGCAGTCTGTGGTATCTCTAAGGATGCATCTTGCTCGTTTCTATATCGCACAACGCCGCGGAGTTTGTAGGTGATAGAGATCGGGTCCGAATACAGTCCCTTTAATCTGAGGGTTGGAGGAAAGATCCTACACAGCAGGAGTTTCGAGGTGCCTATGCCTTCGGTTCCAAGAGAATAACGAAGAAAAAGGGAAAGCTGTACAGAATCAATCCATCTTCACGTAAAGCCCTTTGGGCGGAGTCGAGCTTCACCTCGTAACTGACGCCGAGGAACTGCATATGTCACGGTAACGCATGTCTTCCCAGTCGACCAATGTGTTCACCAGATTGTTAGAATTTGTCACAACTGGGTGATCGCAGCTTGGTAAGTAAGCTACTAGCCCGTTGGCGTTGGGAGCCCAAGCGGAGCGGATGAATGTAGACTGCAACCCTAAAACGCATTTGCCAGTCAGATGCAACGATCTGGGAATTTTAGACGTGGTGTAATCCAACTTACCTTGCAAGAAATCTCGACTTCTGTAAAACATAGTGCTGATGGCGATGAGACACGAATCTGCCCTTCAAGCGAGTCTCCAGATCGCTCGCAGCCATAATCGTTGCCACGCGGACTGCATTTATCGCATGCTAAGATCTTAATATCCACTGAGATATCATTAAAACTAGCCATACCTAGAAAGGAAATCCGTTTGGTTGTGTGGTGCGAAAGATCTAGAATTCTTTGAGCACTCTGTGCATGTCATCGCGACGTTGTGATAGGATGCCTTATCGCGAGCTTAGTCCTTTGTCACGTTCGCTATGCACATTTTTTGTCAGCTTACATCATATGCCCAATGGGCATGACTCGGTCAATGGCGACCAATTAGCGCGGTGTAACATCTGATCCCGGAACTTCATACATCTTGAGGGTAAGGTGAGCTTACGAAGGGTACCACTTCTGTAGGCTCGCGGCAGACTATGTACAACGAGTGCGATCACATAAGACCAGAATGTTCCTACTGCGAGCATCACGTAGACTGTGAGGCATGTATGTATAGGGGATTTGCAACCTCAAAACAACTTGGGATTCAGCGTGTACCGTTACGATCTATCTTGAGCTATATAATTGAACGACTTGCACCAACCGTGCACTAAATACTCTTCCAGGCCCATCTACTACCCATCCACCTTACTAGATAGACTAACCCGATCAATACAGGTACCTCGATGAGAGGCCCGACCGTAGCAGCAAGTGCCTGGTCGCTGTCAGGACCATACGTGGCAACAGCGACAGCGATTGCGAGCTCAAAGTTGTTGCTTGCAGCTGTGAAGCTTTGGGTTGCCCCCATCCTGTATCCATATCCCAGCTTGTTGCATATCCACAGCGTGAAGAAGAAGATGACAATGAAGTACACAATGAGTGGTGCGGCGACTCGAACGACGGAGACGATCTGGTGGACCACTTGGCGACCTTGAGAGGCGAAGAGAACGAGGATGGTGTAGAGAAGGCCGATGAGTGACCACGGAGCCAGCCACTTCAGGAACACCCTTTCGTACCACTCTGCGCCAACCAGCTTCCGCAGTATGAGACGCGTCAAGATTGCAGCACCTAAGGGGATGCCGAGGAAGACTGCAACGCTTGTTGCAACTTGCTCATAGGAGACGGCGACGGTCCCAGTTTCGCGGCTGATGACCTTGATGAAAAGGATGGCGAGCGGAGCGTAGAGTATCATCTGCAGAATGGAGTTGACTGCCACTAAAATGGCACAGTATTCATCGTCGCCACCTGCAAGTCCGTTCCAGATTAGAACCTAGTGAATATAAGCACTGTGTCAGAGAGGAAGAAGGGATGTATGAGCGTACCATGGCGATGCATCTCGCCAGACCAACCAAAACCAGTCCTGTTCGCAAGTCGCTTCTGTCGGGTAAGAACGCCCACGCAAGACCGAGCTATACTGTATTAGTCGAAGATGGGTTAAATAGGAGATGAGACGCACCATGAGGAGTGGGGCGACAATCCAGTTCATAAATATACTGAAGCCAATTTGAATCCAGAGAGCGCGAGTTCGAAAGAGACGGTGCAATGTCTCGTAGCGGACTTTACAAAGAATCGGATACATCATGACGAGCAAACCCACAGCTATCGGGATTGACACGCCAACGAACTTGCCCTTCTGGAGCGCTGGCCCTGTTTCTTCGACAAAATTTCCCAGAAGGACACCGATAATCATAGCAAGAAGGATCCACACCGCAAGAAAGCGGTCCAGCCATCCTAGTCCCTTGATTACCGAGCCTTTCTTCACTGCTACTTGTTCCTCGAGCTGCAGTTTCTCGAGATCGGCGTCCTTGTGAGGAGAGACGGGTTCGGCGTCGATGGGTTGAGGTCCTTCCGTTGACGATAAGGTCATATTGCTTGTTCTCGAAGGTTGTCGCGGGAGATGTGTTGTTGTAGGCAGCAAATAAGCTTTAGCTAGCCTCGAAAAGTGTTTGAAGCGAATAAAGGTGATAGTCGAGTCTAACAGTAGCTACTTATATTTGAAGTCGTAGATGACAATGGCGTATAGTGCAAAGATGCTTAAAGCTAGCTTTAGTCTCGACCAATCATTGTCCAGTAGTGACTCACCGGCATGCACTTGTGCCGATACACGGGGGCAACTGCTCTTGCATAACATCATAACGATCCCAGAAGATCTTCGCACGATTATTCTTAGAGCCGCTCGCAAATTCTACAGACGCTTTCAAACAATGGCTACCGTAAGCGTCACAGGTCCGCCCCCGCCATGGCACGCTGCGTACCCAGCGCCCAGAAATACCCCTGCCACTATTTGTCGTGAAGATGTCCTCGACATGATCAAGCAGAGCGCAAAGACTTCTAGCCGAGACTACGTTCTCATCGATTTGCGTCGCAACGACCACGAGGTATACAAAGTTGATCGTCATCTTACGCTTCTGTGGAAAGAGCTAAGTAAAGCAGGGCGGCACCATCCGCGATTCGATCAACCTTCCTGCGCAGAGCTTGTACCCTACCATACCGACTTTGTACACGCTCTTCAAGGATGCAGGCCTCTGTAAGATAATCTGGTATTGCTGTATGTTCCCTTTTACTCGTTCCGTAGCGAACCGGCACCAAGAAGCGTTTTCCCCAACATGTTTACGAGGCTGACCAACTTTGGCGCATTCCAGCTTCCTCGAAAGGACGCGGCAATCGTGCCGCTGGTTGGTTCGCCGACTACATTGCAGATCAAGGGGATGAAAGGATGAAGAGTCTCGCCCTAGCTGAGGGCGTAAAGGGATGGGCAACGGCAGGCGATGAGTACGTCCAGTGGATGATGGAATACGACGCTAAGGTCTGGTCGTAATCTTAAGGTCTGGTTGCAATCTCGACTTCTTTTGGAAGCTATGCTACATAGGAGGGACAGTTCAATGCGGATCATTGGTGAAAGTTAGATGCAATGCGCAACGTGGGACTATGTGATGATAAGATTGGTGGTCGCTGAATTGATGATCTACATATCGTACCGGCACTCAGAGCAAACAGCCACTAGTGACGCAGGGTGCAAAAATCGATTCCACCGAATAGCATACGACCGGTGACATACACTCTCCTTGGCAGTAACTCGCAATGAGTTTCGAACAACATTTCCGGTCATGTACAGTACTGTACAACTGCAATTTTCCGCCTATACACCGTTATCAGAGACAAACATCGTCTGTTTCCCCATCAGCTGCGCAGCAAATCCATGTTCATTTTTGTAAACATATGAGGAGGAGGTTGAGGAAGTAGTTGGCTGATTGATAGAGTCTATCGAAGAGAGCGAATATATATCCTCATGTTACATAATCAGTGATGAAACGCACTATCTCCACGTAGGCGTAGATGCTGACAATTTTCCGTTCGCTCCGACCGACGTGTATTTTGAGTAACTTCAGATTTAGTCAGACATTTTCGCAAACAATACGTGCAGTAACAAACAGTGATCTAAACAATACAACTGCAGAGCGCGTTCGAGCTGAGATTGCGACAGACCCGGCATACTACCGCACCTCGCTTGCGATACCTGCCTACGAAGACGAAGCTCACGTCCGAAAAACGAACCGACCCTTCTTGCTAGATGATGCACACTCAGATCGAGATTGGGTCGCTCGGCTCGAGCTCAGCACAACTTTGAAGGTGGTCAATCTTACGAGAATTCCTCGTATTCTGTACAGACTTGGGAACAATCAAGCAAGTAGGGCCCCACTTACGCTGTTCAACTAGAACATTACCGCTTGGCATACTTGGGCAGCTTAACGCGTTAAGCTAAACCGTTATAGCGTATAACGGTTTAAGGTTCTTAAATCGTTATATCGTTACGTGAGCTCTTATTACGTTATAACGGTTATAACGCGATAAGAGTCTTAGCGCCAAGTACGCTAGTATTGCACATGGAGAAACAGAGAATCTGCTGTCCGGATGCTCCGGACCTTACCCAAAACCCCACCAAATATGTCGTGTATCACACATATACCAGTGCAATGTCATTCAATCCCTCGTCTGAAAGCTCATCTCTAACGCCACAGTATTTATCTCGCAGTATATCTCCTCCATACTTTGACGCTATCATACGAACAGAGACCTTTCAGAGTACCAGCAACTCCAAGCGCAAGCGTACAAGGACTCAGTATGTCTGTACACAATGTCCTTCCTGGTCCAATACTCATCGTGGTAACACTATCGCCCATGTTCTAAGACACCATGCTTGGCCTGAATCGTCTCAGCTTCTGCACACCCCTCGCACACCGGTTACAATGCCGCAAGCTACTACCTCCGTATCCCGAACGACTACAGACCAGAACGTTATTCGCAATGCCTTCGATCGACAAGGGTATCGCGACGCACTTGCAGGTCTTCTTACTCGACGTCGAATGTCCTTCTCATCAGTCGAGTGGGCCGAGATGAAAGACCTTGCACTTGCTTGCAACCCATACGTGCAAGACCAACTGATAACAAATCGGCGTACAGCCGTACGTCTTATCGCCTCGAACTATCAGTTCTACAAGGGTCATGTCATTAAGGAGAGCTTATCAACAGCTATAAGTCCCATCCATATATCAACAGATCTATGGACATCGCCTTTTCGCTCATCTCTCCTTGCTGTATGCGCACAGTGGGTTGATCACGAACACAAGCTTCAGAGAGCTCTTCTAGGTCTACCAGAATGTCGTTACGGTCACTCCGGACAACAGCAAGCACAACTGCTTCTTGGAACCCTCGAGGAATACGGGATACAGTCTAGAGTTGGCTGGCACACAGGGGATAACGCGACCTCAAACGACACCTGTCTAGACCATCTTGAGTCTCTCCTCCAAAGCAAGCACAACGTATGTTATAGCATTAGATGTATAAGCCTTTAATAACGCAGCCTTTATGCTAACTCTTAAAAGGTCCAATTCGATGCTAAAACGCGCCGCATCCGATGCATTGGTCATATCATTAATTTGTCCTTGCAAGCCTTCTTGCTTGCATCTTCAAAGGAAGCTCTAAGAGCTGCTCTTGAGTTTGTAGCTAATGCTACAGGGGAAGATCTTCTTGCACAATTCTCAAGTGCTCTTACGTCTCGGCGAGAGAGTACTAGAGCGCAGCACGAAGCTGCATCGGAGACATCACAGAGTCGAAGACCGTTTCGCCAGGTACGTAGTGTTGAGAGCCGAGGATCCGGTGATGAGGACTTCTCGGGCTTGGAGAATATTCCTACTCTCCGGAAACTCCATCAACTTTGTGCCTGGCTGCGCAGTTCGACTGTACATGCAGCAGCATGGGATCGCCAAGTAGGCCTCCGCTTAGGCATTGATAATCAAACCAGGTGGTCGTCGTGGTACGCTGTTATTGATCGAGCCCTAAAAAAGATGACTGAAATCAAACTCTTCATGCACGACAACGAGAGATCTCTCGACGACATCCGTCTTACTACTGACGATTGGGTCATACTACAGAATACACATGCATTCCTGGACCCATTCGCATCAGCGACTCTATACACAGAGGGGAAAAGAGCATCTATCTCACAGTCTATCTTCCTTATGGACTCCCTCCTACTTCATTATGAGCAGCAGAAGGTTAGTGCCAATACCTTATCCTTACCTTACGTCCTTTTTGCTGATGCTAAGTATGGAAACATTACTCGAAGCCTGAACACAAAGATCTCCGCATGATTCGATCAATTGAAATGGGCTGGTTTGTGCTCGACAAGTACTATAAAATGACCGATCACGTTCCAGTGTACGCTGCTGCAATCTTACTCGACCCCTCAAGTAGAGGTGCCTACCTCAAGAGGAACTGGCCAGCTGAATGGTATGAACCAGCTATCGATGCTGCTAATACTTTTTGGCTGAACGAGTTTAAATATGACACGTCTTCAGTCGAGTCTACAACTCCTGAGCCAATGCCTCCACCGCCAAAACAGCATGGTGCTGTACTTGACCGAATCTTTAAGCAGTTAAAAGGATTAGGAGAGGTAACTTCGAGCATTGATGATCTAAGAGCTTTCGCAAATGATGCAGCGGTACAAATTGACTGTAGTCCTCTTGAGTGGTGGTGCCGACCAGAACAGCGGCAACGCTACCCTAGGCTGAGTCATATGGCTATCTCAATTCTATCTATTCCTGCAGAGTCATCAGAGCCAGAGAGGACGTTCTCAGGTGCAAGACGGACGTGTTCATGGGATCGGTCAAGGCTCACTTGTTTCAACATTGAGAAGATTGAGTGCATAGGCAGCTGGTTTAGAGAGGGCCATATAAAACCTTCGTCTCTCAATGGAATGGGTTTACCGGTAGAACCACAGCTGGAGGACGATGCGGAGGCAATAGATGACGATGTAGCAGACCTTATAGAATGGGTATAAGCAGGTCTTGGCAGTTTTGCGCTTATATCGTTAAAGTCGTTATAACGCGTTAACGATATAAGACAACGCGTTAAGCCGTTCTAACCTAGTAGGGTTAGCGTGTAACGTAATAAGGTCTTGTGCCCATGTATGCCGCTTGGGGCTTAACTTCTACCCATATCTGGGCACTTGGTTACTAACGCGTTAAGCCTAGGCCTATAATCTAAACCGGTTAATCCTCATAATCACTGAACGGGTTAAGCCATAACGCGTTAACCCAAATAAAACCCGGATAACATTGGACAGCTATACCGACCTCAAACCCAGTCAATTAGGTCTATATCATCATCTGAGAGCTCTGAAAAGTCTTCATCTATCTCGGGCCCCATCGGTAAGCCCATCCCATTGCGATGTAGAGGCTGGATGTGACCCTCTCGTATCCATGACCCAATGCATTCAATCTTCTCAAGGTTTACACAGGATATACTGAGCCTGTCCCACCGACACGAACGTCTAGTGCCAGAGAATGTTCGTTCTGGCTCCGACGACTCGGCTGGGATAGATAGGATGGATATAGCCATGCGGCTGAGGCAAGGATAGTAATGTCGCTGTTCAATACGGGACCACCATTCAAGAGGAGTGCATTCAATGCGAACTATAGGTGCTTCAATGAATACCCTAAGATTGTCGTCATTTAGCACATTAGTCGGCATTACCTCGATATCCCTCATAAGTAGGTCAAGCTCAACGCCGCGCTTTTTAGCCTTGGCCAGCTTAGATGGCGGTGGCATCGACTGGGGAGCAAGAGAAGGGTTTAGCGTAAGTTCTGCCTTAAATTCTTCTTCCCATAATATATAGGCAGCTTCAATAGCAGGCTTCACCCACGTATCTGGCCAGTTCTTGCGAAGATAGGCGGCTCGTCGAGAGGGGTCGAGGAGAAGGGCAGCAGCATAAACGGGGACGTCTTCGGTCATGTTGTAGTATTTGTCGAGGATAAACCAGCCCATTTCAATAGCACGAAGGATGCGGACATCATAATGTTCAGGCTTAGAGTAGTGCTCCTAGTAGAAAATCAGTATTAGACTCTAGAGTATAACCAGTATAACCTACCTTCTTTCTCTCGTAATGAACAAGAAGAGCATCCATAAGCGGCAGCGATTGCGAGATAGATGACTTATCTCCTTCAAGATATAACGTTGCTGAAGCAAGCGGTTGTAACAATGCGTGGGCTTTGCCTAGTATATCCCAATCATCAGCTGTGAGCCTAATATTGCTAAGAATGCTCTCATGGTCCGTCATGAAGGATTTGATCCCCGTTTGCTTTGAAATAACCCTATTGATAACTAGATACCAGGACGACCACCTAGTGCGGTTATCTATGCCTAGCCGAAGATCGATATCTCTATCCCAGATGTTGGCGTGAAGCGTTGAACTGCGTAGCCAGACAGCTAGGTCATGAAGCTTGCTGAGGGCAGGAATATGCTGAATGCCAGAGAATTCGTCAGATGTAGAGCTATAGCTTCCCTAGCTGCCTCGTTAGCGAGTAGATCGTTGTGATGCCTGGCTCTGCTGGGATCTAGGCTGGCGCTGACTCTCTGCATTGAGCCTCTGCTGCTGTGAATGGAGGATACAGGAGAACTGGGAGAGAAGCTCCTCGCCAGGAACTTCAGCCGCAGCATTGAGGGCAGCCAGTAGAGCCTTCTTTGAGGATGCGAGTAGGAAGGCTTGGAGGGAGAGATTAATGATATGTCCGATGCATCGGATGCGGCGATGTTTAGCGTTGAACTTAATCTGCTTAGTAGTTAGTACTAGTATTGAGGCTCTCATTAACCATATCTCTGAGCTCAAATAGTTAAAACTAACCTCATGCTTGGCAAGTAGGTTCTTTTCAAGGTGCTCTAGGCAAGTGCTATTTGAAGCAGCACTATCACCTGTGTACCAGCCTATTTTGGACTGAATATTGAAAGTTTCGAGACCGTCAAGGATAAGGCTGGCTTGCTTCTCTCCGGAATGGGTGAATCGGCATTCTGGCAGTCCCAAAAGGGCTTTCTGGAGGACATATTGGCTGTCTACCCGTTGGCCACAAATAGCTAGTAGAGAATGGAGATGTGGTGAAGTCCATAAATCAGTTGCTAGATGGATCGGGCTAATAGCAGTGGCAAGACTATCTCGAATCTGACCTCTGTAGAGTGAGTAGTTTGATGCAATATAACGAACAGCAGTGCGGCGAGATGTAATGAGTAGGTCTTCAATAAAGGGATTACAAGAGAGCGCTAGATCCTTCATCTCGCTCCATTCAACAGACTGAAAGGGCATCCGGCGTCGTATGAGTAGTCCGATAACGGCCTCACGATAGCCTTGCTGGTTGAAGGCATTCCGAAGGGCTGCCTGGGAGGATAAAGGCGTAAGCATGGTGGTAATCTCTCGCTGTATTGTAGGCGTTGTCTGAGATGATTGAGATGCCGCACACATTGAGTGACTGCCTAGAACATGTCGAACGGCGTTGCCGCGGTGATGACTCTTCCATGAGCAGAGCTTGCAGGAATACTGAATCCTGCGACGCTTACGGTGCGCATTCTGGACGATGATATGGTGAGAGCGGATAACGGCATCAAAATGCGCTAGTTCTAATAGTGTTAATGTCTCTAGTGTTAATATTAAGGAAGCTTCCGACGACATTGCTGTAATAGATCAAGGGTTGAAGGTCTAAATAAGGCAGTTTAGGGGATTAAAAGGTTTACAGGGTTTCCTAAGAACTATTTGACAGTAGGAGGAGAAGGTGAGAGGTAATAATATGAGTGTGACTTTGTGGAGTTCTACAGGTCACAGGTGTTCGTAGAGCTGTACTTGTAGTCGCTCTGTTGACTAGGGTATGTATCAGATGCACGGGATGCCCCGTTTCACGTACAAAAAGTAAACATCCTATTGCACTAACACCTACCGAATAGCCAACAATTCCCGTGCTAGCTGTACTGTCACAGATCAACTCCGCCAAGAATGCCAAGAATGCCTTATTAGGATCTTATCAAGTTAACGGGTTAAGGAAAACATCATAACAGGTTAACAGGATACCATAATAAGCATTCGTAACCGGGTTAAATCCTAATCGGGTTATGAGTAACGGGTTATGGTGCCCAGGTATGGGTAGGCGGGACGCTGGCAAGTGATAGTGGCTTTGATGATGTAGCCGCCGCTAGTAACGCAGGGTCAATCATACATTTCCAACCAATGACAATCTCGCAGTGACATGCTGGCTAGAAGCTGAGGCTATGATATACCCGTCTAAAAAAGCTCCATAGCCTGGAACAACTAAAAATACTGCGAACCCAGAAGCGGGTGTTAGCAAAACACTATAATTCGCGCTTTTGCTTGTCCCCACCCTTTGATTCTTTCGTGTCGTAAGCTTTGTCATTCTTACAACAACTGTGCAAGCCCATGAACATCTTCCGATCGATACCACACGTCGGTGTTCGCAGCATCGTTATACTCCGCTCACAGTGCTCTTTCACTCAGTTCACCCGTACCATGGCTACAGGATTCGGAGACCTAAACAATACGTCAGCCGAGCGGGCTCGAACTGAACTCGCTGTAGACTCAGCATACGACGGCGTTTCTCTGGCGATACCCTCCTCAGAAGACGATGTCGACATTCGAAAACGCTACAGACCGTTTCTGCTCGATGGAGAAGAAGCGAAGCAGGATTGGGTCGCCCAGCTCGAGCTCAGCACGGCGTTGAAAATGGTGGACACACAGGTTCTTAAGCGTGGCGATGACAGACTACGTGTTGTTGTCTTACACGGCAGCATGCGACAAAGGTAGGAACTCTAGTTAACAAGATTTGTCGACATGACGAGCTAATTGTGGCAGATCGTATTCGCGCTTATTAGCGTACGAGGCCAGCCGAATCCTCTTCCGGCTCGGCTGCGACGTCCGCATGTACGACCCCGCCGGCCTGCCCGTCAAGGACGACGTCCACCACAACCATGCCAAGGTGCAGGAGCTGCGGGAGCTCAGTAAATGGAGTGATGGACACATCTGGATCAGCCCGGAGCAGCATGGCATTCTTACAGCAGTATTTAAGAACCAGATCGACTGGATACCCCTCTCTACGGGCTCCGTGCGCCCAACTCAAGGCCGCACCCTCGCCATCGCCCAGGTAAACGGCGGCTCCCAGTCCTTCAACACGGTTAACGCGCTACGAATCCTGGGTCGCTGGATGCGCATGTTCGCCATTCCGAACCAGAGCTCCATTCCTATGGCATACAAGCAGTTCACAGAAGAAGAGGAGGGAAGCAGGCTTATGCCTAGCGGGAACAGGGATAGGTTGGTGGATTGCATCGAGGAATTCGTCAAGTACACAATTGTCATGAGGCCGCATTTTGACCTCTTCGGGGACCGGTATAGTGAGCGGGAGGAGAAGAGGGCGAAGCAGAAGAAGGAAGCAAATAAGCCGGCGCTAGATACGCAGCATGCGGCCTTGTCAAATGGCACAGGACCTACGAATTGATCCAGCCTTCGCTATTGCTATTCTACAATCATTACAATTAGCTTGTGTTGGCAGCGGTCATCCAAAGCATTGCATATGGAACGGAGCACGGAAATAATTGCCGTCATTAGACAAAGGCGAAGGCTAGAGGCATTCCTGGACTAGCGTCGTCGATTATCTTGGCGTAGTGACACCCCGTAAACACAGTAGTGACATACCAATCATAACACATTTATACACGAAAGGACACAGAAGTCATGTCACCTGTACATGTCCTCCAATGTCTAATCAACCTGCGCCTTCCGCAATGCTTCCCATTTCACCACCAGATCAGTTCGATGACGTATCTGACGAGGATACAAGAGGAAGTGACACTCCTCCAGATGGCGGATATGGATGGGTCTGCGTCGCTGCATGCTTTGCAGTTAACTGCTTTACCTGGGGAACCGTCTCAGTGAGCTATCTTCTCCATTCAATTCCGCAAATATGTTACGAATCCCTCCACGCAGGACTATACTAACAATGCCATCTACAGGCATATGGAATTTATCTCTCGCACTACCTAGCCGACGACATCTTCCCAAAGCATCGACCTGGGGCTACGCCTTCATTGGCGGCCTCAATTTCGCCATCGCCATGCTGCTCGCGCCCTTTATCACCGTCCTATACCGAAAACTCGGTACCCACACCACCATGTGCATGGGCCTACTCCTCCAACTCACCGGCTTCCTCGGCGCATCTTTCTCTACTCGCATCTGGCAGCTGCACATCTCGCAGGGCGCGTTGATCGGTGTCGGCATTGGTTTTTTGTACATCCCTTGTTTGCCTGTACTGAGTCAGTGGTTTGACAAGCAAAGGAGTCTGGCAAATGGGATTAGTGCTGCGGGGAGCGGGGCGGGTGGTGCGGCGTTCGCTTGGGGTACTGAGGCTATCATCAAACGACTGGGCATTGGCTGGGCGTTGAGGATTACAGGTATCATTGCGTTTACCGCTAACACTGTTGCGACGGTCTTCATCCGCGATAGGAATAAGGCGATTAGACCGTCTCAATTAGGCTTTGATACTCGGCTTTTGCGACGATATGAGGCGCTGCTGTTGTTAGCTTGGGTGTTTATTAGCATGTTAGGATATGTTGTGCTTCTATTTTCTCTCTCCGATTTCGCGCTATCTATCGGGCTCTCGCGGTCTCAAGCTACAGATATGATCGGGCTGCTGAATGTAGGGATGGCCATTGGACGGCCAATTATCGGCATATTCAGTGATCGGTGGAGTAGGATGGGTACGGCGGGTGCGCTGACACTAGTTTGTGGTGTTTCTTGCTTTGCTTTCTGGCTACCTGCTACGGGCTATGGACTTACGGCATTCTTCGTCATCTCGTGTGGCGCGATCGTTGGAGTGTTTTGGATGGTATGTCGTCTCTTAGGATCTGTGCTTGATAGTTTGCTGTATGCGCTAACATTGCTACTTGCGTAGACGATAGGCCCACTTTGCGTTGAGGTGGCGGGCATTAAGAACCTGCAATCGCTGTTGTCTTTGTCCTGGGCTGCAGTCATCATTCCGGCCACAGGTACGTGCACAAAACTCTCCTCGCGCGCCCAAAACTCTCCGTCTAATACCGCTACGTCTATAGTCGCCGAAGGCATCGCTCTAAAGCTCCGACGTCCCGGTTCCTCACGAGAGTACCTATATACACAAATCTTCGCAGGCCTCTCATACATTATAGCTGGCGGCTTCATGTTCCAGCTGCGCCGAGTAAAACAGCGGCGGGCCCAACAGCAGCACCAGGTGCAGCAATAGTTCTTGATCTGCCTTCAGATAATACATGTGAGCCTGAACAACTGCAAGATATTAATAGAATATCTATGCGTAACATGAGTACTGCAAAGCCCTTCCAGCTGCTGTATTAATAGACTATTCATGAATGCCTGCATCATCTGGTACCAATCTTCTTGATACTACAATATCTCGGCAAGAACATCCAACAGGACCTGATTGTCCACTCGACAGCCTTCTAAAGGCGTGGCGCTGAATCTATATCCGACCCGTAACTTGAGATCCAGGTCTATGGCGCTAAAACCTTTGCGGTTGCTTTCGAGGATGCGTGAGAAGGCTGTTGTATAAAGAGTTGTTGTGAATGACTGGAGTCCTGGTGGGGTTGTGCTGCTGCTTAGATTCATGGCAGAATGGTCATGCGGCTGGCCGAAGAGATTTTGTTGTTCAAAACTGTCTGAGATAGAGGTGGGGTTCGTTGGTAAGGCGAAGAGATCGCAAGGTAGAGTTGCGTCCAATGGCTTCAAGCATTCCGAGGAAAGTCGTGGTGTTGGGTGCTGAGCTCCGACATTGATACTTTGGAAGATGGGATCCGGATGTGCTTGTAGTTCATTGGCGAAATGAGATGTGGATTGTAGCAACGAGAAAGGCGTATCGTTCGTCTTTTCGGAGGTCTGCTTATCTTGTGCCCATGTCGAAACAAACCGTGCAGCCCTACTATGAGCTTCGAGGAACTCGTCCCCCAGCCCTAAAGAGTGCAACAGCCTTTTGAGCGTATCAAGATCCTTTACAAGTCCTTCAATTCTTGAATTGGTGGGAGTTTGATCGCAACCGCTTTCATACTGCTGGATCTTCGCTTCAAGCTCCGCGATGTACTGTTTCCGTCGATTGCGAGAGCGCCGCTGGTTGTTACGGACGCGCTCGGCGTTTGTAAGCTACTCTAGGAGTTAGCGGGCGACCGAGTAGACGAGAGAGGAGGATGATGAATGGTACCTTTGTATTGACCTTCTTGCTCGCCATGATCGACCACGTAGGAATATCCTGGTGAGGGTACTGCTAGTGCATGCAGAACTGAGGCGAAGTACTACACGGCGTTGCCGTGATGAGGCATGCGGGGCTGACTACTGACGTCATTACTTACCTCGGCTTGGAACTTACATTCTAGGGTAACAGCTAGCGAACAAAACGAGAGCTTCCCCTAGAAGCTGCCTGGTGTTCCACTAAAATACCACTTGGCTGCTTAGGAAAGCCAAGCGATGACTAGTGGAATACCAGGCACCTCCCTGGGGACTAGGGGCAATGCTACTATGATTCGCAATGTTCTGTGTCCTGTGGGTTCATGGCGCGACAGTTTTCTTTCAAGGCACAAGTAGCTCATTAAATAGTAAGTCACCGAACACCGCTAAAGTGGCCTTTCCGAGTCAAGCTTCAGCACATGGCTTTTGTTCATAGCTGATACAGGCTTACAGCGATTATTAGCGTGTGCGAAGAAAGCGAACTGTTGAAAGTCAAAGTACCCCTCATTTGTCCCAGCACGGCGGGTGTCTCAGCACTTAGGGAGGGACGTTAAATGCCAGGGATTGATTAACGTGCTGGACAAGCGAGTCGGCCAGGCAAGCGAGTCGGCCACCCCACTAACTTCGATCACATTTAAAGCGACGCGTCTCAACAACGCGATAATACAATATATAGATGTTTATAGAGTAGATTAAGCAGTATCTATAGAATTCTTTCAACATGTACGTGTGTTATGCCCAATCTCTTTGCACCTGCTGCAGCGCGCCAGAGCTCGGCGGCTAGGGCCTGATCGCTCTCCTCCTTGACGCTCTTCGCGAGCAATCTGCTGGTCAGCCTCAAGCCGTACGATTATATCCTCTCCAGCTCCCCTTGTTAGGACTCCACGCTTCTGGAGTCGCTTTTTCTTGCGCTGCTTGCGCTTTGACGCTGCTTCGTTGGCTCTCTCAAGGCTGGTGATCCGATCGCGCATCAGCTCAGCTGAGAGCATCATCACCTCAGCCCCCTTCTTGAGCTGGTTAATCGCCTCAATGATCGAAGCTGGTGATGAGCTCTTGTACCGTCGCACGCGACCACGTATCAATGTTGATTGAGCCCAAGCTCACGTACGTTGCTCGGCGTACGAGCCTCCCAGAGAGCCTCTGGTAGAGCAGCTGGAGTAGGTGTACGCAGCTGCACGTCTAGCTTTGATAGGACAGCGTCTGGCCGGAGAGGAACAAGGCCTGCGCCTCGAAAAGCTGAGCAGATATTGGCTGACGTGAACGATTGATCAAAGGCTGCCTTAAACACTGGCAGAAACTCGAGCTTGGTGATGTGGTTGATGTGGTGGCGGATTAGAGCCTCAACCTCGCGGCTGTACGCGCGCTTTAACGGCGAGAAGCAGCCAACTTCAAGAGGCTGAAGTAGGTGAGATGAGTGAGGTGGCATACAGTGCGTGTAGATGTTGTTCTCCTTGCAGAGCTCTTGGAACTCAAGCGAGGGGTGGCTCTCGTGCCATCAAGGATAAGCAACCGACGTGCTCCAACTACCTTGCCCTCTGTATGCTTGATAAAGTGCTTTAGCCACTTGACTCCTAGCTCGTTATTTGTCCAGCTGTTGTCGCCAACTGCGATCGCCCAGTGGTGTGGGCAGAGTTGTCAACAATCAAGTCAATCAAATATGAAGCTCGTATTTGGCTTGTTTGGAGTTCTTTTAGTGTTGTACTTGACTTGATTGACTTGGTGGCCGAAACGGGCATATTTGATTGGTGATTTGACAAATACTTGCAGTTTTAATTACCTAATTAGGCAGGTATCGTGAGATCTTAGACAAGTAGTTGTATTGGAGTTGGTGCAAAAAAGAGGCATATAATAGCGTCCGTAGGCGTGTTTCGAAATTACAGCCGTCCTAATATACCTATATATTGAGTTGTATACCCATCGTGGTCCTAAAAACTTTTAAAACAAAACCACTAGTCACTACCTAGTATACTGTAGAGGTTGCGGAACACGGTTTCGTATTAGTAAAGGATCACCCGGAGGTGCTGGGTGTATAGGAGCGACGAAGCTCCTATATACAACTCACCGTCTAGCAGGAGCGAGCAAGTACACTAAGCTAGTGTTTCGTGATAGGGATAAGTAGCTTGATTAAGTATATATACAGCCGTAATCGCGTGATCCGGTTGTAGTAACTATCGTGGAGTTGACGAGCTCGCCGGCGCTGGTGGTGAGGTGGTGAGGTGAGGAGCGGGCAATGAGCAGCGTCAACCGACGTCAACGACGCTCAGCAGCGTCAGGTACCGTCGAGCAGCGTCAATTGCGAGATCGTAGCTCCGTATGGAGTTGATTGTTGCGTGCTGGGCAGCGGGAGGTGTATCGATCGATCTCGGCAGCGTTTGCGGAACAGTACGGTTCGCGAGTTGGCCTCTTTTTGGTGGAGAAACTAGCTGTTAAGCGAAGTAGTTAACTATAGTCTAGCTGCGCTGTTGGATATACTGACCCGCTTCAATCGTTGTCGTTGCTATACTCAGTCCATTGTGCAAGCTCGTATAGCTGGTCTAGCTGCTTATCGCTGAGTTGAGACTCCGTAACAGCTCCAGCAATTGCGGCGCCTGTACTCTTCCAGGTCCGTATACACTGCAACGCAGCGAGTAGTTGCGGACTAATTTTACGACGTTGAGGAGTAAGTAGATCGCCGAGCTCGCTGAACATACGCTCACACTCGCAACTACTAGCAGGTATCGTCAATATATCGATCGCAAGGCGTGTGAGGTTGGGATATTTTGGTCGTAGAGCAATCCAATACTTTATCGGATTGCTGTCGGGGCTCTCAAACATAGTCTTCGTCCATTTTGGTTCAAAAGCTCGCCACCGCTGATACTCGTCAAAGCCCTCGTCGCTGTCAGACGATGGGTCCTCCATAATTGCCGCGATAGCGTCGTCAATAGCGTTGGACTTGCGCTCTCTTGGGCGACTCCTCGGGCTCCGAGATACCTGGTAACTGCCCCAAAGTTGCTGGAAGGACTCATTTGCGCGAGCAATCCAACCGGGCTTGTCACGCCAAGCGCGATCACAATATTGCTTGTAGTACGGGTGGAGGCAGCAAGCGGCGTAGTATACGGGCGACTCGTCGAGTTTTTGATAGTATCCATTGAGTTTTGCCTATGCCGCCTTCAAGTTGATCGCGAGGTGGTCCTCAGGAGCACTAGTTGCCTCGTAATCGACGAGCTCGTACGGCTTGTAACGCTGCTCAAACTCCCCAAGTAAGTATTCGAAGACGGGCAATACTTCATATATCGCTCCAAACCGGCCGCTTGTACCGCGGCCCTCGAGCCGTTTTGTAGCTGACTTCAACGGCTGGAGAACCTCAATATAGTCGTTCACGACAGCCCAATCATTTGCTGTAAGCCCGCCCGATCTCATCCATGTAGGCGCGTCGGGAGTCTTATTTCTACGGGTTCTAGCATGACTGTCAGCAGCAAGCTGATTGTCGATATGATACGCGATATACGAGTTGAACGCCGGTTGCAACTCAACAGCACGCTCAAACGCTGAACAATACGAGTTCCAGCGCGTGACGACGGGCTTTACCGGCTCAAGTATCCTCTGTTTCTCGGTGGGGAGCTCACTGTTGGCGAGAACTTGAAAGTTCTTAAAAACGTCGTATTGCTGGGGTGTTCTGATATAATTGACAACGTCAAGAAGCGTACCTAATGGGCCCCGTTGACGCCAATCGCCCATGAACTGCTCCTCGTCCTGTATTGATTATTTAGCAATTGCAATCTCGAGAGGACTAGGAGACTCACGATAATATTAGCGTCGTCGTTGTTAAACGCATCCTTGTTTGAGCCGAAGATCACCGCCTGGCCCACGAGATTAATCGTATGAGCGCCGCAACGTAGGCGACGATGGCTAGCGATAAAGCCGTACTTGCTAGCGAGTTTCTTAATAGCCGAGTCGTTGTTGTACGCGTTATCAAGCATAAAGTATCCTAACTTTGCTGCGTCAACTCCAAACGCTTGCAGAGTTCTCTCGATGCAATCAGTTATCCTGTCACCCGTATGGGCGCCCGTAAGCTGCGGCAAGTCGATGGCGACGTCTTTGATAACTCCATGAGCCGTGGCGTAGTGAGCAACTACTCCAAAGAAGCCTCGTTTGCCGCCTTTAGTCGTCCATCCATCAAAACTTATATGGATCTTGCTTATAGCCTCTCCAAGCTGCTTCACGACCTGGGGCTGCATATACCTATACAACCGCATCACGAACCGATTAACGCTGTTGTGGCTCATCCACAACGACTTCTCCGCCTCTGGGTTTGCAAACTGTATCATCGCTCGAAACGCTGGGTCTTCAAACTGCCTCAACGATATATTGTTGTCGACAAGCCAGCAAACAGCCGACAACCGAAACGCTTGTACGTCGAAGTTTCCAATCTCGTTGGCGATAGCTTGACTAACCCGTACGCCAGCGCCCGTCAGCATTATGAGCGATCTCTGACCCGCTGGCAGCGTAATAGGCACCTTGCCCGAAGCGGCAATACGGTGTTTCTTGAGCAGATGAGTCGTTGCCGAGCTCGTCGCCTGTGTCGTCTCCACCACGCCCGAATCAAGCCTCTTGTTTAGGTGGCAATCGCGGCATACGAAGAATATCCGATCTGGGTTTGATTGTAGGGCGACGCGATAACCGTGATCATATATCCAGCTTTTGCGCTGAGATTGAGTCCGCGGCGGTCGTATGAAGCCTTTCAAACGACCCCAATCTACGCTTTCAAAGTTGTCCACAAAGCGCGTATCCAAATCGTCGTCGTCGTCTTCGTCGGCCGCCGTTGAGGCCGCGGTGGCTACTTCTGAATCCTTAACAGGCGTAGCAATCGCAGTCTCCGATTGTGAGTCTCGCAACTGTGATTCAAAATCGTCGGCCTGGCTCGTGATCGTCAGAGCTTCACGCGATAAGCTGGATTGAGTATCATCAACGACTACCGGCTGGCTTTCGGTGCCCTTCGTGAGGAGTCTACGCTGTTTTGACGGGCGCGTGTTAGCGTTATTATGCGTAAGAGCGCGTCGTTTTACATTAGGACGAGCCATAACAGTAATACTAATACATAAAAGAGATAGGTTGCGAGTTATCGATGCGTTGTTGTGGTTAAAAAGATCGAACGGCAAGCGAACTAACTAAGAAACGAGGTTCTGATTGATTACTAACTGCACTATAACACCAAAAAACTATCACGAGATCGCTGGCCGAGCTAACTCAACAGCCTCACACAAAACTCTAAATAAACTGCAATCAGGTCAATCAAATACGGCTATAAAACTTGACTTGTTTGCAGTTACAACAACGCCGTATTTGACTTGATTGATTTGAGTCTTGGCGCCGACGACGATCTATATTTGCAAATATATTTGATTGTTGACAACTCTGTGAGTCCTAGCGTTAGTGGTAATAGCAGTAGCCCAGGGCTTCCTGTAGCCGTCACAGTCCTTACAATACATCAGGGATTGCCCTGACTTATCACGCATTGCCTCATCATTCTCTGGCTTTCGAAAGTGTGTCCATATATCTGCAGCACGTCTCTTTCTTGCCTTCACGTCCTCACGGCTACGGCCAGGTCGATGCGGTTCGTTATTGAGGAAGCGCCATGGGCTAAGAGAGGCTCTGGAGGAAGGCGTAGTGGGTAGAGAGGGCGTAGACGAGGAGGGAGGTCGAATAAGCCGACCTCGGGAGTTTTGGGAGGCCATAACGTTGTAGAATGGTTTATGGCGGTAGTTGTGGAGTATGCAGCGGAAAGATAAACCGGTAGATACTCTGGGATTTGCACGCAAAAGGCGCAAAAACGGAAAACGCGAAAGGGAGCGGAAAACACCAAAAAAGATGGCGAAAAGTGAGCTTGCACGTGCCCTTATCAATACTTATCAATATTGAATTGATAACGATTTCCCATATTGATATTGCCTACTTGGATCAATATTGATATTGATTGATAAGAACATTGATAAGTACATATTGCCGACAAGTCTGTGTTCTCGAACCACCGATACAAACCTTTCCCTTGAGAATCTTAGGGATACAGGATGCTTGGATCCCGATTGGGTGTTTGATTTCAATACTGGCGAGCGAGGCGACGAGCCATGGCGCCACGTTGAGCGACGCAGAAGTAAGCTTTTGATTGACTAAAGGGATGGTTTGAGGGGTCCCGAAGGAGTCCACAGTATTGTGTGAACTGCTTTGCTGCCTTGCCTTGCCTTGACGCGCGAAATCGTCGGTGCTGTTATTGGCAACGGCTTTGGAGCAACTTCAGCTTCGGATGCCAAATTTTTATCGCTATCGGTCGGTGATAGTCTCCTTCTCTTCCTAGCCCATGGCTGCGCTTCATCAATCTCTTGGTCTAATGCACCAGAGTCGCTGTAGTTGATTGATGCCATGACGGTTGTTGATTCTTTGTATCGTAGTGGTTGTCAGGTTCAAATGTTTCCGAAACTTCATGCAGGGATACGTTGCGCTACTCTACATAGTGTTATCGATAAGACGACATTCATATGGTCCGCGTCTACCGGTTGCGATTCTAACCAATAGATACGAGCGTTTCCGGTTCACGAATCTCACAGTCAAATCTCGGGGATTTCAAAATGTGTTTGATTATGATTATCGGCCTTGACGTCATGCTCTGATCTTTCCATCTCTCTTATACCTACAGCAACTCTCCCCGCAAAGACAGCTCTTATCCAGTCCAGCCCAATACTTGTCCCCATAATCCAGCGTAATCTCCTTTCCAGCCTCTACTCCCTTACTGACCAAGACCACCCTCTGCGTATCTAGCCAAGTAAACGTAGAACACTGCGAGTTAGGCTTGCAGCTATGATTGATAAAGCGCGTAAAATTTCCTTCTCTTCCTTGCCAGATCTGATAACTGGCCAAGGGCGTCGAGCTGTCCAGGACATCGAGATGCCTGACGCCGTTGGTTATGAGGCCAACGAGCTCGCCAATTGCTGTTCCACGATCGAACGAGGTCAATGCGACCAGACCATTATTCCTGCCGTCTGCTGTCCGGTGAATTTGGACAGGTGGTGGTTTGCGCTTTACGCAACCAAAGAGGGACGGGAAACAGAAACAAGAATTTTCCTGCGGATTATCGGATTGCGTCTCGTTGCACAAAGCGCAGATGTATGCTCCGCCTGGTCCTGTAACGGCGTTGGATTGCGGCATCCAACGCGGATCTTCGCAGCCCCAGACTGATTCGTCAATGACTGATTCCTCGATATGTTCGAAAGCAAAATATGGGTCTTGCTGAAGGTATGTTTGGCGTAAGGGCACAGGATCTGATCCGTCATCAAAAACGACCCAGTCGTGCGGGTGTCCGGGATACTGGGGAGTTTGGGACTTGCCCACAATTGCCAGAAGCTGGCGCCAGTGAGGGTGCAGAGTATCGGCGGCAACCTCGAGGTGTTTTCTTAGAGTCTTCATTCGGCGCATTGCATCTTTATCGAAGCCCACTCGGTATTTGCAGAACCGGTAGATGCCCATGCCAGCAAAGACAAGTGCAGCCCACCCTGCGGCATCCTTGATTTCTTTGTAGCCGCGCCAGATGGCCATCTTGTTGCGTAGTTCCTTTCTAGTGTGGTAGTTTGGTCAGCAAATGTCAAGCGGCGAGCTCATGCACGGCGTAGGAGGTATACGTACTCTGACCAGTCAAAGTCCTGACATGCTTCCATAAAGACTGCTTTCCTATGCTTCGTCGTCGACAGTTCCGGTCTCGATTGGCTCCGATATTGTACCTGCTCCTCGAACAACTCGACCCAGTGGGCTTGCACAATCAGCTCAATTGACCGGCACACGCGGCTCGCCTGCGTGATCTTGCGGCAGAAGACATTCATCTGACTGAATGAGTCATATATTGTGTTCGTAGTGGTGGTATTGAGCACTACCATGGGAGCAGGTGGCTCTGTTGTCTGCGCCTGCCGGACCACGCCCATTGAAGATCCATTGGGCGTTACCTGAAACTGTTCGAAGATGGCTTTCGGATCAAGGTTGAAGGTGCTGTGCACTTGTTCCCAAATGCCAATAATCAATTTGTCCAAAGTGGAAGGCTGGAAGATGAAGCTTTCGGACGCTGTCTGCGTAAGGTCAGTACTAGGCATACGTCTCATTTGGCAATCCGCTATTTGCTCCAATGGGATGAGACCCTCAAGTTTGTTTTGGGGGGGGAGACGAGGACGTGAGGTGGGCAGGTCAACATACCTTTTTACGCTTGGGGAAACTTCGGCTATCAACCTGCATCTGCCGTTGGTGCTCGGTCAGATCTTCTTGGAAAGAAGACTGGTTCTGGGACACGCGCAGCCCACCAGTACCTTCCCTGTGTTTTTCTCGGGTCTGGCGTGCCGAGTGCGAGCCATACTGGAAAGAAGACTCGTCCATTGACGACGTCTCATCGTAGTCGTGGAGTTCGGCTGCTGGACTTTGCGTGGGGGCGGGTGTCCTCATGCCGGCCAGATCGACGGTTCGCTGTGAACATGTAAGCTATACGCTACTGCACAAGGTCAGTTTGTATGCGGTGGGAGTATAAACGTACCGATGCAATCCTCTCGGACCGCATTCTTGCTGTATGGTTCGCGTCGGCTTCTTCAAGGAAGGCCTCGACGCGGAGGATGGGGTGGTCAAGACCGTCGAGTTGCGGCCATACGATGTTGATATTGAGTCGGGTAAGGTGGTCCTGGATGGCCCGTCCGATGCACTCGGAAAGGCCATCAACATCCTGTATGGCATTCATCTCAATCGCCAGGCTGAAAGCACCTCGCTAATTTGATTAAGCTGGTGGAGTTGACGCAGGACGCTAAGATGCTTGAGCGGTCGGCGGGCAGCACTTGGGAACGGGGGACGGGTGGGCGAGATATTTTATCTACCACGATGCCCACCAGAAGTTTTGCTGTGGAGGTAGCTACATGTAATGCAAATAACTCAGGGTGCGTGGCAAAGTTCTTGCTGCAGGCGTAAGGTAGTGGAACTGACTGCGAATGCGAGGCATGAGAGACAGACGGCGAGTGCGTTTGTCAAGATGTCGGTTGGCACACTGGATCAAGCGTCCGAAGTCTACCGGTTGAAGCGTTTCACGGCTGCAACACAGTGTACGACTCCTATATGCTGCGACGGGGAGGGCGGCGGAATTGTGATGATGGTCGTGGAAGTTCTGCCCAAGCAGCAAGGCCTAGGTACGATCGAGAAGGCGCTAACCCGTTGTGGCATAACGTTTGGCCTCAGTCATGGATTCGACCAAGCGTGCGTCATAGGAGCGCGGGACAAGGCGCCCAGCCAACCAGAGGCGGCGCTGCAGCTGCATGTGTCCGGTCGAAGGCTGTTTGGTGTCGCAATTGTGCTGCTCGCCGATGCCTGGGCAGTCTGGAAAATCCGCAGAGGCTGCCATGAGGCAACATTGAGGCCGGGCAGGCGAGCGGATGCTTGCCGCCGCGCTAGGCGGACGCGCTCTTGCTAAGTCATTGGCAGACGTCACGGACTATCCAAGCATACCCTCAACAAAACATTTTCTCATCACGAATCGGCCACAACCAACCCGCTCAACCCGTCCGGTCAAGCATCCAAGACGGGCACTCGTCGTTTGCCTGTGTTTATCTTGGCGCGCAGGTGGCTTGCCCATCGACGCCCGAATCTTCCCTCTCCACAGATGTCAGGCGGCACTAGTATATAGTCCTCTAGTAGTGCACCGGCCTCTGTAATTGGACTTGCTGCCGCGTATATAGGCTGGACGCTCGGGGTCTAGGATGAGCCAGCGATATTATTCTTAGCAGAAGAATTCATCCGCGTGTCATCTTGCTGGCTTCTTCCCTTCGTCTTCCACGGGTTTACGTCTCTTGCACGCCTATAGACAGCCCATCGCTACAATCTCCACCCACTCTCCACCATGGAGTCGTCAGACACGACAGAGATGGGTAACAAGGAACGACTAGAGAGGACCGCGACACACGAATCATATACATTCCAAGGCGCGAGAGGATGGCGGGGATGGCGCATTCTACGACCTGGGCGCGGCATGTATCACGATGTCAAGCGCAGGCTACCTTACTACTGGAGTGACATTACCGATGCCCTCACCTATCGAGCTTTCGCCAGCACAGTTCGCATGTACTTCGTCAAGTAAGTCTACCACAACAAGTACCCAAACCATGTACTTACCTAGGTAGTGTATTACCTGCCATCGCCTTCACACTTGACATGTACCGTCGAACCGGCGGCTTCTTCGGCATCAACGAGGCCCTCTTCTCATCTGCATTAGCAGCCATGGTCTTCAGTTTGCTCGCTTGCCAGCCCCTCACCATTGTGGGTGTCACTGGTCTGATCGCCCTTTTCAACTACACCATTTACGACATTATCATCCAATACGACCCCAGTATCTATCCAGCATTTACTGCATGGGTCGGAATCTGGGCTGCCATCTTCCATTGGATTGTAGCCTTTGGAAACTTTAGCGACTACATGGCCTATGTCACTGACTTCTCAAGCGAGACGTTCGGCATGTATGTCGGAATCATCTATTGTGGTTTGTATCTGGTGCCTGGCCGAGTGCATATATGGTACTGACCTACATGCAGTCAAGGGTGTTGAAGAGCTAGTATATCTCTTCGAAGAATCCGATTTTGACGGTGGCTACCTCTCCATCGTCATCGCCATATGCTACTTCGCCACTGTTTACGGTCTCGAGAAGCTTGGTCAAAGTACGCTGTTCGCCCCAGGTGTTCGTAACATTATCGCCGACTACTCCTTCGTCTTCCCTACCCTGTTCTGGGTCGGATTCTCACACATCCCTGGACGTCTGGAGGATACTGGTCTGTATCGAGTGCCCATTGGCCGCGCCTTCGCACCGACGCAAGACAGAAATTGGGTAATTGATTTCTGGAATCTCGACGTCGGATGGGTGTTTGTCGCTGTACCGTTTGGCTTCTTGATGATGCTGTTGTTCTACTACGACCATGTAAGTCGTACATATTATCAAGCCCTGGCACAAGCTTACCCATCACAATAGAACGTGTCTTCTCTCACAGCACAGGCCCGTCAATACCCTCTCTCTAAGCCCGCTGGTTTCCACTGGGACTTCTTCCTTCTCGGCTGCACATGCTTTGTCGGTGGCGTTATTGGTCTTCCACTTCCCAATGGCCTAGTACCACAAGCACCCGTACATACCGACTCTTTGACCATTTACGAAACCAAGTTGGAAATCACCGAAACTAAAGATGGCGGTGAGATTCGTAAACCATTTGTGGAAGCTACCGCCGTCGTGGAACAGCGCGTCAGTCATTTCTTGATGGGTATGGCCATCTGGGGCACCATGACCGGTCCCTTACTTATCGTATTGCACACCATGCCCGCGGCAGTCTTCGCTGGAGTCTTCTTCGTCGTCGGTGTAAGTATCCTCTCATCATTGATCCCTCCATCGACATACTAATCTCGTCTGCAGTGGGGTTCCATAGAATCTAACGGCATTGTCACCAAGTCGCTCTACCTCGTGTCCGAAAAACGCTTCATCCAACGCGATAACCCGCTCAACCGCGTCTCCCGCAACAAGATCCGACTTTTCATCGGCCTCCAGATACTCGGTGTCGCAGCCACTGTCGCCATTTCACAGACGATCGCCGCTATCGGATTCCCTGTACTCATTATTGCGCTCATCCCACTACGCACTTTCTTAATGCCAAAGTGGTTCACAGCACACGAGCTGGATGTATTGGACGCCTTGACGGCAAACAACCCCTCGGTACTGGTGAGCTTTGGTGGGACACCGAGTGGCATGAAGGCAGGTGGGCCTATGGAGGGTGGTGCTGGGGGTCCTCGAGACGAGGAGGCTCTTTCACGCCCACATTCTGCCAGGCGCCAACGAGCAGGAAGTATTCACCGAGATGAATAGGGAACATTTGCAACAGCTACGGTATAGACAAAACGGGTGTTTGAGTAAGAGGGTTTTGAGGCGGCGAGAAAGGTTCAGTTATACTAACATTCTCTTCTTATATATAGACCCCATACGCCTTGAAGACATTTAATGTATTACCATGTTCAACTTCAATATGCATCGCACTGTTGTAGATCGACATGTGATGTCATTATGTACTGAATCAACTTTTGAACCACTCATAAAACGCTTCTAATCACTATCGATTATTATTCTCCTTCTACGTTCTGTTCACCACGGCCGCCCTCTACCCCTGGTCCGTCCCCTACGCTCCAACACTCCAACCCCCCACTCACACCCAACATCCACAGCCCTCTCAAGATCTCTCATATCTGGCATCGAAACCGAAGGCAGAAACCTCAAAACTCTATCATGTATTGCTGGGATATCACTCCCTTTAAAAGCCCTATTCACTCTTGCAGAAACCTCATCTGATGCCTCGTCAGCGAGCACACATAATGTCGCAGGCCAAGCGCCAGTGATCGGCATGGAGGGAGATCTGGCCACCTCCACGACTCACCTCCATCTCCATACCGCCATGGAGACTCCATACGATTCTGAAACGACCTGGTTAACCTGTTTAGTAGTAGTAGACAACGTTCGTCGCAACAGGGTGGAGAGAGAATGTCCGTGCGCAGGGTGTTTCAGCAGAGCTTCTAACGTCACTCCATCAATCGTATGCTAGTTCCTATCAACATCATCATCACTATCTCCATTAGTAACCTGTTTTGATATATCTATTGCTACAATGTTATCGCAAAGCCCTCAGAATTCTCAACAGACTGCTGGCCGGTCGAGTAAGCGACGCAGGAAGCCCTGGGGCAAGTTTCGAAGCAATTCTCTACCATCTTCGTCGCAGCGGACGGATGTTCCTGACGATGACTCTGATAGATTATCAGAGCTCGACTCGGCAGACGTCCATGACCCTGCAGGCCTCCAGTATACCAACGACGACAGTTTAGAGGTCCTACAGGATGTTCCACCCACAGTCCGCAACAAGCAAGCGATAGACAGATTGATTACCGTATTAGGCGTAAAAGACCACAATCTGGCTCGTGCCACGCCTAATCCGGTAATCAATCTGTCTATCGCTTGCTTGTTGCGGACTGTGGTTCCACCCGTATCTCAAACCCCGTTCAACTACTCTTAGGTCCGCTGGGAGGATCCAGGCCTTGCCGGGATGGTCTAACCATCCCGTCAGTTCAAGACGCGCGCATGGTGGTGGAAATACGGCGTACCGCTGGAGAAAATCGTGAGCTCGAAGGATGGCAGGGAGAAGAGAGGACGACGATTATCTCCCTTCCCTCTTTGGGTTCGTTGACGACGACTATGGACCTCTCTTTGAAGAGTCGCTGGCGGACAGTAATAGTAGGAATGGAGAATATATAGTACTACTTCAATCCATCAGTTTGCTCCATCATAGACTCTCGAATAGCAAATTTTATATCTACTATAAGAATAAGTCTTGTTTGAAACACCTGGGCGTTTCACTACCCTGATTAGTAATAACTTTAAAATGTATGGAGTCTCCATGGAGGTATGGAGATGGAGGTGGAGTCTCCACCTCCCTCCATGCCGATCCCTGTGTTCTACCATGCTTCTATCATCATCCACGACATTTTCTGTACCAGCAGAACGAACATGAACATATCGGAAACATCTTCATACCTCGACTTGGCGCCATTGTATGGTTCTAGCCTTGCGGACCAACTGGAGATTCGCACAATGAAAGAAGGCAAGCTGAAGCCAGACACTTTCCACGAGAAGCGCCTGTTAGGCTAACCTCCAGGTGTCAACGTTATGCTTGTCATGTACAACAGATTCCACAACTACGTGGCCGAAATACTACTAAAGATCAACGAAAACGGACGGTTTACTCTCACACAGTTCAAAAATCCCACTCCTGAAGACATCGTCAGAGCTGTGGCTAAGCAGGACCACGATCTCTTCAATACTGCTAGACTAATCGTCGGCGGTCTCTACATCAACATCTGCCTACACGACTATCTCCGTGCTATCACCAATACACATCACTCCGACAGCTCGTGGACCTTGGATCCTCGCGTTGATATCGATAAGCATTTTGATCCGGAGGGAGCTCCACGTGGCATTGGAAACCAGGTTAGTGTTGAGTTCAACCTTCTATACTGTTTCCACTCGTGCATTTCCAAGCGAGACGAGAAGTGGACCAACGACTTCTTCCAATCAGCTTTGCCGGGGAAAACTGTTGAGGACATCAACAAGCTCGACATGTACGAGCTGTTGGGGGGGGGGTTGCAAAAGTTCTTCGGCAATATGAATCCAGATCCCAGTAAGCGAGAGTTTGGCGGTTTACACAGACAAGACAACGGCAAGTTCAAGGATGAGGATCTTGTCAGGGTAACGAAAGATAGTATGGAAGACCCAGCAGGATGCTTCGGTGCACGTGTGGTCCCCAAGCTCTTCGTGTGCTATTGGGTATATAGAGCAGACGCAGATCCTTGGGCAAAATGGGGATCGTAGACGCGTAGACGCGTAGACGACAGCCGAGCGCTGGGGGGAGACTGAAGGTATTGCAGCCGCAAAGCACGAGGCAACCGTGCCTCTACGAGCCTAGAAGTACAGTGTTCAGTTAGTAGAGCCATTGTCTAGATGAGCGAGCAGGCACATGTAGATAGTGGCGAGAGGGAGACGGCAGGCCTCTGGGGGCAGCTGGTTCTTTGGAATGAAGTAGGGCGGCGCGGACCAACGTCCGCACCGCGTCGGCTGTCTGCCATGCCTGTCAACCGGGCATAGCTGCGGGCTTCGCGGCTGAAACCGTGTAGGAATCAACCAACCAACCCAAGTTCTTTCTGGGAGCGGTGCCGCGTTTAACGTTCTCCACTGCTGTTAGGTAGGACGCAGACTGGCCCTTGCGAAGTGTGGTAGAAGCTTTTTACCGCTGAGTCAGTCCGACATTGCTCGCTGATGGCTTTCCTTTGTCGCTGAGCTGTTGTCCTTGCTGCTAGTCAAATCCCTGTTCACGTTACATAGGAGGACACTCTTAATTTTACTAAGCACAACGTTAACGTGCCCCACTATCGAGATGCGCACACCATCGAAATGCGCACTCTGCCAAGCCCCCACCACTTTCAACTCTCTATTACAATGTCTCAACTACCAAATCTTGAACTGCTTTCTACTGAAGACAGAGTCATCCAGGCTATCCAAGCTATGAAATCTAACGCGTCGCTTACCCAGCGACAAGCCGCGCATCGCTACGATATACATGAAAGCACTCTCCGCAATCGACGCGCTGGGAAGGCTTCACGACGCGATACTCAACCCAACCGATCAAAACTCCAGAGACATGAAGAGGAGGCGATTATACAATATATAAGGAAGCTTGACGCGCGAGGCTTCGCCCTACGCTTAACTATGTGCGAGAAATGGCCAACCAACTACTAGCTACACGTAGTGGTGGCCAGGTTGGAGAAAACTGGACCTACAGGCTTGTACGCCGGAGACCTGAGATCAAATCTCAGGTAACAAGACAGCGGGATCACCAGAGAGTCCTCTGCAGCGACCCAGCTATTATTGGGCCCTGGTTCAATCTTGTACACAACGTCAAGGCCAAGTATGGGATTCTAGATGAAGACGTCTATAATTTTGATGAGACTGGCTTCCAGATAGGCGTTGGAGGGTCTGTTAAGGTAGTAACAGCCTCTGAGAGACGTCTCAAGCCACTTGGTGTTCAGCCTGGTGATCGTGAGTGGGCAACGCTGATTGCTGGCATCAACGCGATGGGGTGGTCCATCCCACCCTTTTTCATCTTCAAGGCAAAGAACCATAACCAGGCCTGGTATCACAACCCTAAAGATTGGAGGATAGGAGTTAGTGAGAATGGCTGGACAACAAACGAGCTTGGTCTTGCATGGCTGCAGCACTTTATCCAGCATACAGAGGCTCGCACAGTGGGTAGTCACCGGCTGCTTATTATTGATGGCCATGAGAGCCACAAGTCGCTCTGCCTTCCAGGATCTGTGTGAGGAAAGCAATATTATCACCCTCTGCATGCCTCCACACTCATCGCACATCCTACAGCCACTTGATGTGGGTTGTTTTGCCCCGCTGAAGCAGGCGTACAAGAAGGAAGTCAGGGGCTTGGCAGACAGCCACATCTACCACATCGACAAGAAAGCCTTCCTAGCTGCCTTCAGGCCAATATTTGACAAGGCGTTCTCAAAGAACAATATCTTATCAAGCTTTCAAGCAACTGGCTTAGTCCCACATAACCCAGATGTGGTGTTATCTAGGCTTGAAGTACAGCCTCGTACGCCAACACCACCTGCATTAGGGCCTACCCCTTGGCAACCTAAAACACCAAGCAACGCCTGGGAGATAGAGGCTCAAACAACGCTGATTGTCAAGAGGATAACAGATCACAAGGAATCATCACCTGATTCTATCATTGAGATGGTGTTGCAGGTCAAAAAGGGATCAACTTTGAAGGTGCACTCACACACGTTGCTTGAGGCTAGAATAGCCAACCTTGAGGAGGCAAACCAGGCAGCATCTGAACGTAAAAGCGCAAGAAAAGCGAATCCAGAAGGGAGGGACCCTATCGCAGGCAGAGGCAGAGGATATAGTTGAGCAAAGGGATGTTGAGATCCAGTTAGAGGTGGAGAGGCGTCAGGAGAGGGTGCGCGCAGGTGGTAGTGCAGGAGGTATCCGACGCTGCAAGAACTGCGGCGAGGCAGGACATAATAAGCGCACATGCAAGAAATATGCAGCAGAAGTAGAGGATTAATTCGAGCTATTAAACGCGTAGATAGCTTGTTGTGGTGTTGAGTTATTCGCATGCGAACATGGATTGCTGTATTTCGTGCGCATTTCGATGGTGTGCGCATCTCGATAGTGGGGCACGTTAAGCTAATTTTGTCCTGCAACTTCGCTGGCACCCCCGGCTCCGGTACACCTCCCACCTCCCCAACCCACACCACCACCCTCCACCTCTCTAACCCCCGCAGACAAAACCACCCTGGCAACTCACCTCTCCACGCGCCTCAACGCCCTCCACGCCCATCACTCCCCGCAGTCGCCATCAGCAACCCGCTCGCCGCCTCCCTCTCACTCGACGGCTTCCACCTAACCCGCGCGCAACTCTCTTCGCTCCCCGACCCCGCAACCGCGCACGCGCGCCACCTTCTTGAAGCTGGTGAAACGGCTGCGCGAACTCATCCTCCCCGAAACCCCGACCTGCACGCGCCCAGCTTCAACCACGCGGTCAAAGACCCCGTGGAACACGACATCGCCATCACAGCCTCAGTCCGTATCGTAGTGCTTGAAGGAAACTATCTCGCGCTTGATCGGGAGCCATGGCACGAGGCGGCGGGCTTGATGAGGATGTTGCGCGGGAGAGGCTGGTGAAGAGACATGTTAAGGCGGGGATTGCGCGGGATGAGGCGGAGGCGCGGAAACGGGTCGAGGAGAACGATGAGGTTAATGCGAGGGAGATTTTGGGGCTGAGGATGGGGGTTGGGGAGGTTGTGGTTAGTAAAGAGGATGAGCGGTGGAAGGGGGAGACGGAGGAGGAGGTGGATAGCAGGGGAAAAGAGGAGACAGCCAATTTTGCGTGAGCATGACGTGGTGGTGCTGTCGACGGTTGGTGAGGTACATGAAGCCTCCGTGCCGTCCGTGTGTGAGCCGTCAAGTATCCATCTCTCTTAATGCAGCAAAAACTTGAGTCGTAACACATTACACGGCAAACATTATATATAGCTGCCTGGGACTAAAAACTATGCATTTAACTACGCCTTGTATCTGTGCAGCGCTCGAGGCATGCAGTGTCCTTCTGTGGAGCATACGCACTTGCGCGCGATGTTGCGTGCGTGTGTGCGAGGGGAATGGCAGAGGCTGACGTGTGGTGGGGTGGCACGCATAAGTGCTGTGTCGCAGCGCGTGGTGCAGTAGCGTGTCGCACGGTGTGTGGTGTATTATAGCTGAGCGACATGGGACACGGCCATGCAAGGCGTTCATGATACCGTGCGCTTCTCCGCTTCTCTCAGCGGCAATTATCTCCGTCCGCGCCCCGTCAGCGTACCAGTGCATTCCTTCTCCTCTCCGTCTCCCTCAGAAAAGACCAAGGATACCGCTCCCGCTCCGGTCATCGCCCTCACACCTTGGGCAAAGCAACCTCATTCTCCACCTCCAAATCCTGCACATCTCGTACGATACCCATGTCTTCTTTGCCTGCTCTAACGCGCTCTACCCGTCTTTCCTCCTCTTTCTTCAGCAATTTCCCCAGCATCTTGAAGTTGACAGGCTTCGTCATAAAGTGATCGATGCCCGAGCGCCAGGCCTCCAGCCGCGCGCTGGCGGATGTGAGGCCCGTGAGAGCAATGATGGAGCACCGCGGGAGGTTGAGCTCGTTTTCGAATTCGCGGATGGCGCGCGTGGCGCTCATACCGTCCATTATGGGCATGGACATATCTGTGGGGAGATTGTGAGTGGGTGGGATGAGCGGGGAAGGCGGGGGAAGTACCCATTAGGATGACTTCGAATTTCGAAGCGTCTTGTTGGTAGGCTTTGAGGGCTTCGAGGCCGTTTGAGGCTTCTTGGTATTGGAGACATTGTTTGCGCATGAAGGTAACGAGGAGCTGGGGGCGTTAGCTATGGGAGCGAAGGAAGATGCTTAGGTCTGCGGTTGACTCACTTTCCGATTGAGCGGGTTGTCGTCTGTGATTAGGATGTGGGAGACAATTGGTTCTTCTTCGCTGAGGCTGGGTCGGACTTTGTTCGCCGCTGACCCGGCTGTAGAAAGAGTCCCAGCAGCTGACAATAGAGGAGTATTCGGCGTAGCTCTCGGCAAGGTGTCGTCTATGTAGAGCCACTTGAGTATTGTCGAGGGGTCTTCTCGTATTTGCGTCTCTAGCAGATTTTGCGCAGGCGGGGTGGAGAGGTTTCCGGGGCTCACGGTGTTTTCCTCGGGATGTGCGAAGCGATCAAGGCAGGCGTCGAGCACGTACGCCAGCTTATATGGTCCGCATCTGGAATATGTCAGCTAGGGGTTTTGTAGCTGGGAAATGCAAGAACCTACGGTTGAGTCATGATCTTGACTACCGATTCTCTGTTTGAGACTCGCTCATCGGATCGAAGGGTTGCAGCTTCTAGACTATCCCTAGCGACGAAGATGGCCACGGGAGCTCGGCGAGAAGCTCGGTGGGCCGATACTCGGTCACGTCTGATTGCCGCAAGGTAGTCGAAGGAGACTTCTGGGCAGATCACCAGCTCTGCACCGTGTCCCTCCCATTCTGTGGTGAGTGTGACGTCCATGTGCAAATGGTCCTCTAATGTCCTTGCGAGAGAACTAATGAAGCGTTGAAGGCCCTCGTCTTCCGGCGACTGAGTCCGCGCTTCGACCAATTCCAACTTCTTGTGCAGGATGCATATCCTTCGGCTCTTCAAACGCGGTAAAAACGATAAAAATCGTGAACGCTCGGGATTGCCTGTGATGGATCTGTCTGGCTTAGGTAGTGCAACTTTGACCGTAACTTCGGTCCCGACCGCCAGTTCACTGCGGATGTCAACATTTCCACCATTGATGTCGATGATTTGCTTGACAATACTAAGGCCGAGACCAGTTCCAACGGCATGTGTATCTTCTTGTGAAAAGGCTTGGAAAGCTCCGTTAACAAGGAAAGTTGGGCTTATACCGGCACCGGTATCCTTTATAGTGAGCGTGACACTAGTAGCCGCACTTGAGTTCTCTGCCCCACGGCTGACTCGTAGGGAGACATGAACAACTAAGTAACAAGGAACGATTAGTATAGCAATGGCCTGAATGTTAAGTGATCAAGGGACTGAAAAAGACTGCATGCTACAAGAGCAACTCGCGCTACAGTAGCTTGCGTATGTGAACTCAAACATGAAATGACGCTGATGCTCTATTTGAGATCCTCTTGGGTTTCCAGGTCAAGTCTTTCAAGGTGCAGGAGGATTATGGGGGCATGACGTACATCCTGATGAGGTGTATTTCACCGCATTTCCAAAAAGATTCATAACAAGCCTTCTCCAAGAACCCACCGGGAATGCAAAGACCCAGTCGTCTTCGAAAGCTAGGTCGAGGACGATAAAGCATGACTTGCGTTGCGGCATTGGATCTGAGGCTTCGAATGTCGGAGTTTCCGCGGCATCCAGGAGCTTAGAAGTTACGGGAACGTATGTCGAGCCGCTGAAGACAGCCTCCACGACCTCTTCTGTCGCAATGCTCAGATCGAAAGCAGGCGCTTTGTTTCTTCGGATCTTCAATGGTTTTGAAGAAAGTCGTATCGTGTTCCCGTCCAGCAGTCGCTTGGAAGAGATGCTTTGTCTCGCTTCACCGAGTTTTGCATAATCCATGACGTGGTTGATAGTGTCAAGTAGGGTCGTCCCACAGGCATTGAGTGAGTTCAGCATACTAGTCTGAAAGATGTCCAAGGGCGTGTCTTTGATGAATTCCAAGGCGCCGAGGATGCCATGCTAGGGATTGTAAGAATATAAATTAAGTGATGGACGGGTCCAGACATGGTAATACTAGTATATCAGTTCCAAAATGCTTATCCTGGTATACTAGTATTACGAAATCCTTATACTAGTATACTAGTATATGATTTCTGATATCCTGATATCCTTGGCATTTTCTAGTGTCGAGCTACAAGACACAAATCGCCGTACAAATCGCGATTAAATCGATTAACCTCTACACTACTGCTACATCGATATCCATATTATCAACCTCGTCCTCATGCAAAACCACACCCCCAGTCCTGATATGGCGGTTGCGCAGCCAGTTGCCGATGCATTCAATGAGCTCAATGTTATCACAAGTCAGTCTCGATCTATCCCAACGTGTGGTTCGTCGAGCACCTGAGAATGTACGCTCTGGCTCTGCGGATTCCGGTGGGATCGAAAGTATATCCACAGCCATGCGGTGAAGTCGTGGATATCGCCGTCTTTGCTCCGGTTGACACCACCATTCTAGTGCTGTACTACCATGAAGGTCAACTGGATCCTCTCTAATAAAAGCATCGAATGTATCTCTATCCGTGGATACGGTGGTTTTCGGCTGTGTGCGTTGCTTTAACCGCTCAAGTGGTGTCACCGCGGACTGTACAACAGCAGGAGCGGCAGAAATAGAGACCTCCTCCGGAAGGACGAAGTCCTTGTACTCACTCTCCCATACCTGTTGTGCTCTGTCGATTGCAGCGGCATGCCACTCAGTTGGCCAGTTCTCTTCGAGGTAGGCCAGTCGTCTCGAGGGATCGAGGAGAAGAGCGGCAGTATATACAGGTGCTTCGTCCGTTAAGGCATAGTATTTATCAAGAACAAACCAGCCCATGTCAATGGCATGTAGCATACAAGGGCCAGGCTCGGGGCCATCTGGTGAGTGTTTCAACTTTGTGTCTTCGTAGTGCTGCAGGATCGCATCCATAAGCTGAAGCACATCTGCAACAAATGCATGGTCCCTTTCGGCATCCCGAGTGGCTTCGTCAAAGACTTGAAGAAATATCTGGGTTCTCTCCAATAACACCCAATCCGAGGTATCTAGCATATTTTCGCCAAGATCGTGGTCATATTGAGTAAAGAAGCGGTTGATCTGTGCCTTCTTCTTGATGGCGTTGTTTATGACTTTGTACCACGACGACCAGCGTGTGGTATTATCCGTGCCAAGTTCAAGACCCACGGCATCTCTCCACATATCAGAATGGAGTGAGGAGAGATCCAGCCATACAGCAATTGTGTGAAGCTTTCTGAGCGGTGCAATACCTTCTCACCCGCTGCATTTATCGCCGCTGGCTGTGTTCGCGGTAGTTCGCTGTGATCTAGTGTCACCTCTTTGAGAGGACGTCGACGGCGCTGTTAATTGTGTTGACATTCTCTCAATATCCTTGTTATCGGCGACAGACTCGGCGGCTGCGATGGCTGCCGCAAGAGCTTCTTTTGAACGTGCGAGAAGGAAGGCTTGAAGGGACAGCAGTGCTCTCAAGAATATATGAATGCATATATTCATACTTTTTTAGGCTTATGAATATATTCATTCATCCGTGCTCCATCATGAATGAATGAATATAATATTCGAATATCGTTCTTGGCAGTATCTTGGCATGGTGTTGAGGTGTGCGAAAGCTTTGCCCTACTCTATCTCAGCGCCTTCCATCTCGATATCCTCACCACCTTCCTGCCCTCCTTCCTGCTGTAGTTCCTGCCGTAGTTCCTGCTGAAGAAGCTCTGCCCGCCAGCTATCTACAAGCCCACTTTTCAGCCACGACTTCAAGCACTCTCCTCTCTCAATATTCTCAGCGCCCAGGCAATAGCGCTCCCATGAGATTGTACGGCGTGCCCCTGAAAAGATACGCTCCGGTTCAGCTGACATAGGCGGAATTGAGAGGATGTCTACTGCCATACGATAAAGGCAAGGATAGGCCAATTGATTGGCTGGAATCAACCACCAGTTGAGCGCAGTAGTGCCCTTTGGAAGGTTAATTGGTGTATCATTGATAAAATGTTCTAGTTCATCTTTGATCTCGTTTAAGACGTGCTGGTTACGATCCCATGCATCAAATGCATCTGGTTCACGTACTTCCACATCACGATCTTGAATGTCCACCTCAAAGTTGCTAACAATCAATCCGATCGGCGGATCGATTCGCGAACGAGACAGGCAAAGAGCTGTGCACCGCATCACAGACCATTATCTACACCTTGCACGCTCAAATAGGATATATATGCGAATCAATGCGCCGATCGGATTGATTGTTAGCAACTCTGGCCTCAATGGCGAAAGTGCCAAGAGGATTGATCAATTCTATGTCAATTCCAGGTCAATTCAAGTCAATCGTCAATATCGATTGATAAAGATGGACAGGATTGAAAACCACACTGACTTCAGCTCTTCGGTCTGGCCGACGGTCAATCCGATATTCTCGGTCTCACCGAAGGTCTAGAACTTCGGTCTCTCCTAGTCAGATATCACCATATTTTCTAGACCTGTCAACAGTAAGGTGGCATCCTCTGAACGAGATCGCGAGCAAAATTCTTAGATTTTCACACTAAAATGTCACGTGAAATATTCAAATATTCGAATATCGATATTCATTCATTAAACTAATATTCATTGCAATGAATATAATATGCATTCATAAAAATGAATATTATGAATGAATGTCGATATTCTTGAGAGCACTGCATGCGAGGGCAAACTCCTTAATGGCACCATATTCAATCGCCGAAAAAGTTAATCGATGAACCGTAAAGAGCGATATTAGCATCTCGATATAGCGTTGATGATTAAACGCCCTTCTGAGAGTGGCTTCTTCGCCCCGAGGCACCATATATCCAAGAATGTTGGGTGTTGAGGCTGTGGGTGAGGCCGTGGATGCGGTTCTGCGTGATGGAAGCCGTTTCGGGTTCACGATGGTGATGTCATGGAGTCTAGCATGTTTGACGCAGTTGCCCCTACTACCGTTGCTCCATTTGCAGCCTAGAGATAGACAGACATAGAGCACGGCCCCGCTTGTTCTGCGTAGTCTAAGTTCGGCATTTGTGTATGCAGGACGAGATACGGCATGTGCGGATGGGTCCGGATATGTCCTCCTAAAAACGGTTTCGAATTTCTCGAGTCGTGCGGTCGCTGTGTTCGAAGTAGAAGGCGGGTATCCTGGCTGTGATGACGATAATTGAGACGTGCTAGACTCCGAGTCCATAATAAGGGTTATTCGATATCGATCTTGAGAGATACACGAACATGTGGAATGTTCAGGACGGAGTGTCAGATAGAATGCTGAAATGCGCTTAGCAGAAATTGATGATCGAGATGAAGTGTCAAAAATGATGATTCTCTTGTTCGTGTTCTGTCCCCCGCTTTCTCCTATATCTCCTCTGCTTCCGGAGCTTCCGCAGATCGTAGTAGTTATCGGTCCTACTATTGATAGCTCTTTCCTATGCAGTACATCTAAGCTTCTCCTTGTATCTGACACGGAAACGTAGAGATTTTCGGGGCCGAAACAATGCCAAGGCTGTTATACTAGTATTGGACTAGTCCAACGATTAAGATAATCCTGATATACTAGTATAAGTAATACTAGTATATCAGGATATCAGGATTACATGGACTAGTATTACCATGTCTGGACGGGTCACACTCACTAAAGGCGATCGTAGTTCGTGTGAGATAGAGGCCACAAAATTCGTCCTGGTCTGCACAGTAGAATATGTCAGCAGAATGAACAGTATGATCTCATGGGTCAACAGCCATCGTATGATTTTCATCGGGATTGAGGCCAACACCTCGTAAGCTCCAGGATACCACTGCGCTTGAAAATTGGTACAAAGCTTGCCCATATATACCACTTCGGTTTTTAACAGGTGAAAGATAACATACCATATTTGAAGCCCTCGCATCCAGGCGTGAGAGTTCCCTCATGATTGAGTGGCTGAATATCTTGAGATACGCGAGATCCACAGCTGGCGACAGTAGCCGCCTAATATTGTTGCTCCAACACAAACACCCCGCAAACCACCTCGACCTTTCATAGTCCCAGAATGGTACGAAGGCGACGCAACGAGCACCAGGAAACATTGCTTGCACGGCTTTGGATCCTCTTAGTGATTTTTGACTGGCTGTTCGCTTCGGTGGCTCCCCAGATTGCGAGGGTTTTACACCATTAGCACCAGACAGATCTGAGCTATCATCATTTGAAGACAGACTAAGACCATTGGTAGTAAAAGTGATGATTTTGCCATTGGGGAATTCCTGGAGAAGTCGTCCAAGGTCTGCTTCGAGAATATCTGCGAGCTGTACCTCGCCAGTCCGGTCAGAGGTCGCCATTCCAAGCACTTGACATTTTTTTGAGCTTGAACGAGACGAAGCGCAGTTCGAGGCAATTCCATCGGTACCACTTGCGCTGTCACTAGAGGGCATTTTCGACATGTCGGACTCATAAGGAGTGTCAGTGCCATTCGCAAAGCCCCATGGGCCGTGTCGCTGGTAATTGGCAGCGACTGAGGCGTCGAGAATAAGCACTCCGTCGAGATCGCTGGAAGCCATCATAATACTGGCAGCTCGTGAAAACATGGACTTTGCGTTCATGGGCAAGATTTTGTTTTGAAGTTTCCCTATAGCCTGATTTCGGACAGATTCGCTGCGGGTTTTGGACACTGGCGAGGTAGGTGGGGAGGTAGGCTTCGCAGTCCCTTCGGGAGATGCAGCGATACTCGTGTCGACGGAGGGCATGGCAAGTTTAGACGCGTCAGGTCTAGGAGGTGAAGGGGCCGAGGTGCTTTGTAGATGTACTACATTCGTTGCATCTTTCTGGGTGGGATCGATGTTGCTGCCTGTGTCGAGTGGCGATATGACTGCAGCGCCTTCGGCAAATGAGACGAGGCCGCGAGTGAAGCGCTCCCCGCGCCGGTAACAATCCTGGACCGTGTATGTATGAAGATGGTCCATGACGGTGGCTGCTAGACCCCGCAAGAGAACAACCTCTTCTTTGGTTAACCCATCACGTGACTTGCTGTCAAAGACACACATGGAGCCGACGATGCAACCATTGGGACTCTTGAGCGCCGTGCTAGCGAAGAAATGCATCTCAGGGATGCCCTTGATGTGGTCTCGGAAGGTGGATCTTCCATCTTTGGTAAGATCGTCGATGGAGAAGACTGGTTCGTCTTCGGGGGACAAGCTCAGCAGCTCTTTACACAAGCCCCAGCTTCGTGGAGTACTCACGTTTCCCAACCAAAGAGTCTCGGGCGCATCTCCTGGCATCTCTGGACGAAGTGCAAGATCGCGCGTAGCTTCAGAAAGCCAGTGTTGGCGACCGCTTTCTTCGTCTAGGAGCGAGACCATGCATCGTTCGGCATTGAGTCGGATGGCGGCCAGTTTGCACAGGGCTGTAAGGACAGCATCTGGAGCCAGCCGTGGGCAATGTTTCGGCACATGTTCAATGTAAGGGATGTTGGCAAAGGCCGAGCCGTAGAGCAGTAAGACATCGCGTTCTCTTTTCATCTGTTCCCGCTCCCGCTGCCTCTCCTCGCGCGCGAGTGATGGCCGACTCATGATGTCAGTGTCGATCCCGGGCCACCAGAACGAGCGGAGCGCGTCCACGAGGTTGCGCGCACTCCTTCAGACCTCAAATACTGCAGTCAAGGCCGACGTTGGAACGAGAAGCATATCCAAGGTGTCGCCCCGCACGTCATCGGTTGAAGTCTGAAGTCTGCATTTCGCCGCAGAGGCCGTCGGTCTCGATCGCTGCGCTACCGTGTCCGTGCACCCAATGCGCACAATCAGTCAATGCGCGGTACGCGTCGCATACACCATTTTTTGAGTACTTACTGCACAACGCTACAATGGGCCTAAAAGAAGCGCTTGCAGAGGCAGATACTTTCGAACGCCAAGAAGATATTCCGTGGTCGCAATTGTCCACAAAGCATAATGTGGTGCGGTCAACGTTGACGCGACGATGGCGAGGCAAGACGCGTTCCCGCGAAGAGGCGGGTTTAGCACGCCGCAAACTGCAACCACCACAGGAGGCAGAGCTTGTCAAGTACATAGATAAACTCACAGAAGAACTCTTACCACCTACAAGGGAGATGGTGCAAACTTACGCATCAGATGTTGCTCAGGTACCCGTCTCCGACGCCTGGGTTGGCCGCTTTGTCCACCGTAATGACGACCAGCTCACCTCTCAATGGTCAACGTCTATGGACCGCGATCGTCACAACGCTGACTCTGGTGAAAAGTACACACGTTACTTTGAGCTTCTGCACGAGAAGATACAGTTCTACGACATCCTGCCGGAGAACACTTACAATATGGACGAGAAGGGCTTCATGATTGGAGCTGTTGGCAGGATGAAGAGGATCTTCAGTAAGCGGCTCTTCAAGAGGAAGCAGTTTCGACAGCAACTCCAAGACGGCAATCGCGAGTGGATAAGCTTGTTGGCATGCGTTTGCGCGGACGGTACAGCTCTGCCACCAGGCCTCATATATGCGGCAGAGTCAAAAAACATCCAAGACACCTGGGTGGAGGATGTAAAAGCAGGCGAGCATATGTGCTTCTTCGGCACATCACAGAGCGGCTGGAGCAACGATGGTCTTGGACTTGCTTGGCTCCAGCAGGTTTTCCATCGCTTTACAGCAGCCAAAGCTCGGAGGAAGTACCGCCTGCTGCTCGTGGATGGCCATGGGAGCCATCTAGCCGAGGACTTTCTGGAGTACTGTCACCGGCACAAGATAATCTTAGCTGTTTATCCGCCTCACAGCACCCATACGTTGCAGCCGCTAGATGTAGTAATGTTCAAGCCTCTCAGCACAGCGTACTCAAAGAAGCTAGCAACACGCCTTCACAAGCACCGTGGCTTAGTTCCTGTAAAGAAAGCCAATTTCTTCTCACTTTTCTAGGACGCTTGGGTAGCCAGCTTCACAGAAAAGAACATTTTCAGCTCGTTCAACGCAACAAGCATACACCCCTTCGATCCCGACGTTATCCTCGATCGATTCACGAATAGCGACACAGAAACAGCAAGCGACGCGTCTTCTAAAGCTCCTACGTATAGCGGAGATGCCTGACAAAAGCTAAACACTGTCGCCAAACGAGCGTTGTGTGGTGCCTCAGAGAAGGACACCTCAACTATGAGACAATCGCTACACCATTTGGCTATACAAAACACTCTTCTAATAAGCGAAAATAAGGGGCTTCGCGACGCGTTAGTCACTAAGCGCAAGGGCAACAGCAAGGGCAAGTCTCTAAGTTTGCTACAACATTATGAGTACTAGGGACCGGAGATGTTGTAGACTCCTCGCTCATTCCGCGAAGCTAAGGTGCGCATGAAGCAGGCAAAAGAGGAGCAGGAAGCAGATGAGAAAAACAAGGCCGACATGAGAGAGTTGAAGAAGGCTAATAAGCTATACAACGACAAGATTGCAGAAGAAAAGAAGGCGCAGCGTGCACGAGACCAAGAGGCACGGAGGAAGGCGAAGGCAGAGGAGCGCAAGGCAATCGATGCGCGCAAGGAGCAACGACGCAAGGACAGAGAGAAGAAAGACCGTGAAAAAGAGCTACAATCATCCCAAAGAGGCAAGTGAAAAGCTTCACAAAGTACAGCACCTAAGAAGAAGCAGAATTGCGGTGTTGCAGCTACGCGTCGTGGTGTTGTTGACACGCCGCGCACCCCAACACCTCCACCAAAGTACAACTCCCGTGGCCGCAAAATTGCTCCGCGCAAGAAACTGTAGTGGCAGAGTTTGTCGCATAAGTCTATAAAACACTCCACTAAGAAATCTTGTGATGATTGCTTTTGTGTGTGGCTTAATAGCCTCATTTTTGCAAAGTACTGTTATGGTGATGTGTGCGCATTGGGTGCACGGACACGGTACCGTGTCCGTGCACACAATGCACGCCGTCAGTCAATGCACGCGCATCACCAAAACGGACTGCACAAAATTGAGGCTGTAGAGCCACACACATAAGTGGTTATTATAAGTCAACTTAACAGAGTACTCTATAGACCTATGCGACAAACTTTCTCACCAATACTTTCTTGGCCGGAGGATTTTGCGGCCGCGAGTGTTGGTTTGGTGTGGCGGTGTTGGGGTACGCGCCGTGCGCGAGGCACCACCCACATCATCTCTAGTACTACGTTTCTGCTTCTTCCTTGGTGCTGCTTGTTGTGAAGCCTTGCGCTTGCCTGTAGGCGGCTTTTGGATAGTTTTCTGATGGTCGCGAGCTTGCCTTTGGCGCTCTCTCTCTGCCTTGCGTTCAGCAACTTCCTTAGCCTTCTCAGCCTTCAGCCAGTCGCGCTCTTCCTTCTCCCTCGCGCGCGCATCACGCTTCTCCTGCGCAATCTTTTTGTTGTATAGCTTGTTGGCCTTAGCAAGCTCCTTCATGTCAGCCTTTTTCTTCTCCTCTGCCTCTCTCTCCTCCCTTGCAAGCTTCATGCGGGTTTTGGCTTCTCTAAATGACCGAGGAGTCCACATCATTGAAGGACCCCAGTACTCATAGTGTTGCAGCAGGTCAAGAGGCTTGCCCTTTATCTCTCTCCTTTTCTTGACAGTAAGGGCGTCAAGCAAACCCTCATTTTCGCTCTGCAGGAGGGTGTTCTGTATAGCCATATGGTGGAGCGATTGTCGAACGATAGATGCATCCTTCTCTGAGGCACCACCCAACGCACGTTTCATAACCGTGTTTAGTTTTTGCCACGCCTCACCGCCATATGTAGGAGCTTCCTCTGACGCGTTGCTAGAGGTGTCTGAGTCGTCATTGGTGAAGCGATCGAGTATAACGTCGGGGCTGAAGGGGTGTACACCTGTTGCCTTGAACGAGCTGAAGATGTTCTTTGCGGTAAAGCTGCTCGCCCAAGCGTCCCAGAATAGGCCAAAGAAGTCAGCCTTAGTTACAGGCACTAAGCCTTGATGCTTGTGAAGGCGTGTTGCCAGCTTCTTTGAGTATGCTGTGCTGAGAGGCTTAAACATCACCACATCGAGCGGCTGCAGCGTGTGGGTGCTGTGAGGTGGATAGATACCCAATAGTATCTTATGCCTGTGGCAATACTCTAGAAACTCTTCCGTCAGGTGACTCCCATGGCCATCCACAAGCAACAGGCGGTACTTTCTTCGAGCTTTCGGTGCCGTGAAGCGCTCAAACACCTGCTGAAGCCAGGCAAGACCAAGACTATCGTTCGACCAGCCACTGCCTGATACTCCGAAGAAGGCCATATGTTCTCCTACCTTCACGTCCTCCACCCAGGTTGATTGTATGTTGTTGGAGTCAGCCGCATAGATAAGAGCCGGCGGCAACGCTGTACCATTGGCGCAAACACACGCTAACAAGCTTATCCACTCGCGATTGCCATCCTGTAGCATCTGCTTAAACTGCTTCTTCTTGAACAGCCTCTTGCTAAAGATCCTCTTCTGTCTACCAACGGCTCCAATCAGGAAGCCTTTCTCATCCATATTGTATGTGTGCTCTGGCTCCACTTCGTAGAAGTCGATCTTGCCGCCCAGGTGTTCAAAGTACACCTTGTACTTATCACCCGAATCAGCAGCATGGCGTTTACGGTCCATAGAAGTGCTCCACTGGGATGTAAGCTCATCTTGGTGTCGGTGGAGGAAGCGAGCAACCCAGCTTTCAGAGACAAGGTGTCCAGCAATATCAGACGCGTAAATCTGCACCATCTCTCTTGTAGGAGGTAGCTTTCGCTCTGTTAAGTCCTCTATATACTTCACAAGTTCTGCCTCCTGTTGTGGTTGTAGATTCTGTTGTGATGTTGACACCTCTTGCCGAGAGCGCGTTTCACAGCGGTGCCTGCGCGTCAACGTTGAGCGAACAACACCATGCTTGTCAGCTATTTTTTGCCAAGGGATCTTGTCGCCAGAGGGTATAGAATCACACTCTGCAAGCGCTTCTTCGATACCTGTCATTGTTGTTGTGTTATGGTGTTGAGAAAAAGTGGCGCATATCAGGTTTCCGCGCATTTGGTGATGGCGCGCATTTGGTGCACGGACACGGTACAGTGCCCGTGCGCGTGACGAGCCAGTTCGCGTGACGAGCCATCCCAACAAGATCAGACGATCAGAAAGATGAGGTTGTAGAGCCACCCCAGATAGCTATTATCGTGAAAAAAACTGGCGTATTGCTACATAGAAGCTTCTAGAGCGTTTGCACTACTTGAATCTCGCTGGCGTCTTGATTTTGCGGTCGTTTCTGCCATATTTGGGTGGAGGAGACGCCGCAGGCGGACCAGCGTCAACCCGACTTGATGCAGCAGCAACACGACGACGCTTCGTCGGTTTTTTTGCTGCTTTGGGTGAGGCTTTTCGCTTACGCTTGTTTGCTGTATCGTGACTTTTTTGAGCGGTTGCAGCTTGTTGTTGTTCCTTTTTGAGCGCCCGTTCTGCAGCGCGTTCCTCAGCGCGCTGTTTCTGCTCGCGATCACGCTCAATTTTGGCTTGTTGTCGAGCCACCTTTGCAGCTTCTCGAACCTGCTTGTTGTGAGCTGCTTCTGCCGCTCTTGCCTCTCTATCGCGAGTTTTTTGGAGTTGTAGCTCCGCGGCTTCGTC